GGCCGCCACGTGTCGCGCGTGGCGCATTTCTCTCGGAACTTTTGGTCGTTCTCGCGAGAACACCCTGTAGATCGGTGGCAGCCGGTGCAACAGGTGTTGAGCGCACCGCAACCCGGCTCTCTGCGTTCGTTCTCGGTTTCTGTGCAGCTTCGCAGCTGGTTCTGCGCAACAAATCCTGCCCACAGTTTGTGAGTCATGAAAATTTATAAGATCCGCGCGGGACATGGTTCTAACGTTCCATGAAAACGTCGGTTTCTGAGTTATCTAGTACCCGCAGTGCAGCTGCACTTGTGCAGCGGTTGCAGTGCACAGGAACACGCTTCTCGGAAATTACTATCCTCGAATAAATTTAGAGTTTCGACATTATCGATCGACGGTAAACTGCATTTGTGCATTAGCCGGACAGAAGGATTTTCAAAATTTTTAATTCTCGATAAACTGCGCAGATTAGAGGATGCTGTACTTGCGCGTTAATTGCCAGCGATGTTCTTGAACGTGAAAACCTTGATAAAACCTTGCGCAAATTAATTTCAAGTTTTACCATTAACGGTTGGTGGTTTAGAGAAGGTAAGAATTAGAATACGTATTCGTTGCGAGTACAAATTATAGAAAGAATGGTTCGATCGGAATGTTTAAATAGTGCTTCGAATTGTTTCTCTCGTTTCGCGACTCGATTTTCTAACGCTCGAGCTGTCGTGTAGCAATTTCTCGAGCCAAGATTCCCTCGTTTGATCGATGTCCTCTGTGTCGCAACGAACTGTACAATTTCATGCGAAATACACTCGCCAGTTTCTTTGACTCGACTTCCTCCGAGCGAAGCTCATCAGCCTCGTGAAGTCATTGTGTCACCAAGAACGATAGGACCCAGTTCTCATGAGTCCCAGGACCTGGCGTGTAGGAGAACACACGCAATCCGCACGACAATTCCAACGACAGAAGAGGAAGAGCTATTCTAGTTGGACAGAAAACTGCCTGAGTACAGTCTGGTGCAGCCACATTCTCTCCCCGCGATTCTCCGAAACCCTAACTTCTTCGAAAACAGAATTCTTCTTTCTATTCTCCATTAACATTTATTCCTCGTCTATATTATCTCGGATTTTTCATTCTCGCACAGCTACAACCATTGTCTTTAAAAAAAGTTACCCCGAGATCGGCATATTCCACCGATCGAGGCACGTTAATTTCGGACAAAATGAGCATTTTCGCATACAAAAATTTTGTAAACATCATCCGAGGATTGTCAAAGTTTAACAATTACTATTGCTTAAAAAATGCTTTAAGACTGTATAACAACTCAATAAACTTTTTACTCTGTAAAAATGGCTGCGCGGATCCGACGAATACTTTATCTACTATCAGTCTATAGTTTTCTCAAGAAAGTGTGTACAGTAGTTTCTCGAAAAAAAGAATGATTTAGATTCGAGGAATGTCCTGCGGACGGGTTCAACGGCTCGGCATGGCAGGCGTGGGCGTAGGGTCGGTCGCGTTTCCACCTGGAAGCGATTATTGCGGGTGACTGTACGCGTGGCAGGGCACACGTCGAGTCACGGAAAGGCACAGAAAGGCGGCGGGTAGCATTCGGGTTCGCAGAAGTAACCGGCACAATGCGGAGAACCGGCCCGAGAGCCCGATGTTGGCCCGGTGCGGAGCGGCGCGGCGCGGCGCGGCCGTTTCGCTCCGACCTCTTTGCGGCTACGTGGGAGGAATAGGAAGTCGTGCATTAAATCCGAACCTCCACCTTTCAACGGTTAAACGCTTCTCAAATAGAATGTACAGGAGATACCGGCTAGCACCGGCACAAAAGCGAGATCGTGATTGCGCTCATTTTTCAGTTAACACTCGAGGAATTCGCTCCTTCTTTCGTCGACGCGACGCGACGCGACGGCCTGCTTATGCTTTCGAAACAACGCGACGGACCGGCCGGAGCTGTGTTCTGCTCGAAAAGCCTGGAAAATCGATTATGTTTCCCCGAGGAATGCGACCGTCGATGAGAAATTGCGACACGCCTCGGAAACCTCTTCTGAAAGCGGTTATTCCACTCGTCGCGTCGTCGGCCGCCTCTGATATGACGCGTTCAGCATGCCGATCTGGTATCTTATGAGCGCCGCGGCAGACGTGCGCGATGTTTCTCCGAAGTCAGAGTACGTACTCGGCGAAACTCTGACTAATTTCGCCGATGCGATTAATTCCGGTGGTTCCGTCGCATCTGCATGCCACGCAGGTGCATCGAGATAATTAGGTACCACTTCATTCGGCGACGTAGAATGCGAACTCGTTCCGTTCGGGAGACCGTACGCGCAATTTCGGGAGACGTGTAATGTATGCGAGATTCTTACTTTCATCTTGTTTATACGGTCTTGGAATCTTCACTGTTACCGGTAGCTACCTTGAATTGATAAGTAGACCGCGGATATTTGTGCAGAATAATTGGAAGAAACATTTCATCTTAAATGAAATTGAGATTATATTAATACGCTTTATATTGTATTGAGTCACTTTTATAATACAGTGTTTAAAAATCTAGGCTAGGAGTGTCGTTTAACAATGACGTGCATTCTAGTGCTGAATTATAGTGACATTGAGATTTTATAGCACATAAACCTCGCATTCTAAGTTTCCGATAAAATATGTCGAATACATTTTCATAAGAACTTGGATCACGACGTTGAATAGATATCATTTATGTTCGTCGACGGGGGTTGAAAATGCGGAACCAATTCTCCCTGAACAAGTTTCAGGCGAGTTTTGATATTTTGTCCGCGCTGTTGAAATAGTTTGTCGATCACGGAGATCGCAGTGCTGTTACATGGCAAATCCCAGGAATCCTCTTACCCGGGATAAAAATTTCCAGGGCAACCCTCGCGAGGAATTAACTGGGTGGCTTGCACGCCCCGCGTCGGTGGACACTTGATCTAATTGAACACACAGCAGCGGTCGCGCGAAGTGTGAATAGTGTCATGCGCGAGATGATGAAACGCGAAAGGATTTAGCCTTCGTGTCCAAGGCTGACTGCTCGAACGGCGAACAATCGTCCACGCTTTAAGCCGGTTTCACGCGGTCTGCTAATTAAAACTTGAAGAGTGCGAGGAAATCGCGAACTTCCCTGTGCTCCAGCACGCAGCTCGCCTGGGGTGCCACCGAAATACATTCTGTCAGGCAGAAAACGCTCTACTAAAATTATTAGCACAACCATTCAGACGTATCTGCTCGACTAATCAGATTCATTAATTTTATCCTATATTTTTTGTTTGAAAAATGGATTTCTTTCGAAGGAATTCTTATAACTAGAACTAGCAGATATAATTAGAGTTTCTTGGCCTGAGGTTTCTTTCACTTCTACGCTAATTGCAACTTCTTTTTCTTGCAGGAACAGGAAAATTGATAATTATTGTGTTCGCGCATGAATCGCTGGTTATAATTTTCGGTTCGCCGGGTTTTTGCAGATTTTTGGACTGCCGTGTGAAATCCGCGAGCAGATCGCGACGGATGCTTACGGCATTGCGAAATGCAACAACAATTACGCGAGACGCAGACTAATTTGTCGGGGGAAGCAATTCTATTGACGAATTCCACGCTCCCAGGACACGGTTCCGCGATTATTTTATCTCCGAGATTGTATAATCGCGGCCGAACAGTGGAAAAAAATCGCTGCGATGCGCTTCCCATGATTCGCGAACGGTGAAAAGTTGTTTCGCGATTACGCAATCCCCTCGCCTTTTCCCCCCGAAACGACACGATTTTTTAATTCAATCTCGGCCCGACTACGACTGTAAAAGGCGGTCGAGCAGATGATTTGTCTGGCTTGTCACAAGTTAAACGGCCGCGTGCTCGATAATGCCGCGCGAGACTCGATTTTGCACAACAATGTGTCTTGGAAAGATATTGGAATATTGCCGCAATATGTATTTAGTCAACAAAAAACCGTTTCATAATGTATTGGGACATTCGCGGACATCGTTAGCCAACCTGTTTGTTCCTTTCATTAAGAGTCTTTCAATCAAGCCGCTCGCCGAAGCTACAGTCAATTGTTGCTCAATCAATTTTTCTAATTTGCACCGCATTGTTTTATAACGATCTGTTAATTATTATTCGTAGAAGCTGAAGCAGGCGCGAACTCCTTTCGTCATTTTGCACAACAATTGTTCTCGTTTCGCTGAGTGTTAATTGCACTTTCCACTGTCGCGTTTTGCACCTTCCATTAACATGTAACAGTTAATCTAACGGGCGTACAGGTTAAAACCGATCCCGTTTTAGACCAAAGAGTAGAAAAACGACGACTGCGGCACATATTCCAGGCAGATATGCGGTGGCGAAAACCGCTCGATGGAAACTGTTAGCGCACGCTGTACAGTTTTCTTTGGTTTGCACACGCCGATGTTGCGAAACCCGTGCAACAATAATCCGAACTTGAGGGCAGATGACGCAGAGCTTCGGACCGCGCGAAATCATCTCGGGCTCCGCGATCATTTCCATTTCCAGCAAAGAAAAGGGGACAAGTGCTGGTATTTGTGTTCGCCACTCGTTTTGCATCTCGGGTAACGCCTTTCAGAGGCTGTTCGAGAGTTACGAGCACGTAGAGAACGTTTCTCTATCGCGTGCCGGCCGAGCCGTACAGTCCAGAAAAGTGATCTCGATGAAAGCATGGAAATCTGACACGATTTTCTAAAAAGCGTCCACAAGTGGAGCGAAATTTTTCTGACTAATTGTTGTTCGAACGCGATCCTTGCATAATTCGGCGTAGTTTCTACCGAGAACCTTGAGAAAATCGACAGCGCAACAATTAAATAATTTCACCGAACGACTTTTCACTTTAATTGGGCGAGCGGTACATCCATCTGCCGGTATCAAAATTAAAATTTTCTAAAACGAAGATAAAATTGGCCTAAATTTTTCTTAGCTCCTAAGAAGATTACTCTAGCTTCTAAAAATTTTCTGAAAAATGTTTCTAGTATTTGGAGATTATATCCAGACTCTGATGAATTTTTTCTCTTCTGTTTCAGGTATCAGCAAGCAGGTGACAATTAGAGGCCGACAGCATGAGGAACTCAACGCTCCTGAAATGGGCGCAGAACTCTGCGAATAGTAAAAATCAAACGAGCAAGAATGGTGAGCGGATTCGGCAGCGATCTCTGAATGAGATCGACGACGTGATCGACAGGTCTGGTTATGTAAAATCGTTGAATTCTTGTTCTAGGGACGACTAGAAACTGGATACACCCACCGGATGCGCTCCAAAAAGGCCACATCGCCTACCTGGTCAAGGTACGTTTCGCTCGCCTCTTTAGAAATTCGTTCGGCTGTGCAGAACGTTTCAAAACCGACGACGGACAATCGTCCAATCTGCAAGAGAAAAACGAGTGAAAAGTGTGAAATGATAAGCGTGGATGCGATTTCACTGGAGTCGTTTCGCGGACTCTCGATTTCACGGATTTCTCTTTGGCTCTTTGTGCTCTTTATTGACTTGGACGCATGTAGGACGCCGAAGTGTGCACGAAATAATCTTTTGCACGGAAATAGAAACTGTTTCGTGGTAGGAGCCTCCAGTTATTCTTATTGCAACAGCCTGCGTTTCCGCGAAATTTTTGGTTTTATAAATTCCATTGCAGTTGCGCAACTCGCTGCACAGAAACTATAACGGTATTGAGTTTCTTTTAATTTTATTGATTGACGTAGCGTTGAAAATACTCGAATCAAGGACAACAGTGCGTACGGACATAGACTTTCTAACTGTATGAACGCTGCAGGGATTCGTTCGTCTTAACCAGGTAGCTGTTTTTGACGAGTATACTCGTCGTAACACAAAATGTTCGATTTCCTCGTGACGAGTATACTCGCGAAGTATTGCTGACTGGTTGAAAAGTTTACATACTTTGCTGTTCTTGATTAAATTATATATTTTACAAAAGTGTTGTAATTGAGAAGAAAATCAAACATATACAGTATAATTGCAATAACCCACACGCTTTTCAAAGAGATTGCAACAGCGAACTGGTTAAAACCAACGCGACCTCGAAACATTTTTGCAAAAAAGAAAAAAGCAACAGAACCATTACCACGTTCTTGATTGCCTCCAAAAATGAATAATTAATTTTCTAGAACACCTTGGGAATGTTCTCACTCTTCCAATTGCACAGAATTAATTTAATTCTCCTGCACTGACAAATTGCGTTTCATACAAATCACTCCAAATATAGCGAAGCCAGCGCAGCACTCTTCGCACGGTCTATTTAGCGCGTTACACAATTCCGACGGTTTTGTAATAAATAAATAACGACTTATTAATAACCTCCGGACCTCCTCCGCGGACATACAAACGCATTCACCATAAAGTGCACGCGAAGCCAGAAGCGACAAGCGAATTTAGCAACCGAGGCCGAGTGCACGCGGTTGCAAAACCAATCGTTCGCGAAGAAAAACAAACCGATCGCGATCGCGGCGCCATGTGCTGTCGATATTTCTCCAGATATCGACCTCTTCACGGAAAGGTGAAGGTCGCGACACGATTCGATGTCGCTGCAATTTTTTTGCCTCGTGTATTACGTTTCGCGAAAACCTCGACGATCGTCGCGACTGACTTCTTTCTTCTCGGTTTGCAACGTTACTAGATAAAGGAGGTAATTTATGCGCCGCTTTTCAAACAGACGAAGTGGGCAACGAATTTGCTGCGGACAAATAGATTCCGAGCTTTATCTGCGGATGCCGCAGACAACGTCGCGGTTCCTCCGCATTGCGGATTCGCGAGGGATGCATTTTATCACGCTCCGCTTTTTAATTAGCTACGGGCGTATCGTGCTATGTTGTACAAGATGAGACACTTGTTTTCGTTAATAAACCTTGTCCGCGATTAAGACGTTCGATACCATTTCATTTCAATATGTTCGTTCCGAATATATCGCTACGTATCTCTATTACGAAGTGTTTTATCACACTTCGCTTTTTAATTAACTTACGAAACTCGTTCGCGATTTCATCATTGCCCAAGTAATTGATTAAATGCTAAAGAATTTTTTGAACTCCCTGAATAGTAATGCCATGCGTTACAATCTCAAGTAACAACGTCTAATTTAAGTGATCTGTCTGTTTGAATGGAAACGTCGAGATCGTGGACACAGGTGGTGATGGTGGTAACAAAGTGTTAATCAAATAATCAACTTTTGTGTGCAAGAGGTTCCTGCGCTTTGTCGTCGTGCGCTTCGATTTGAAGTGAACTAACACGGAATTCTATTTTGGGAAATATTTGTTCACCCGAATCACGTGCACCGCCTGCTGCATTGGTCCCTGTCGCTCGAAAAAAGTTGCATAATCCCCTCACGGTGTTCCTCGCCTTTCATTTCTCTATAGGAATCGGTTTGGCACGCGTGTGCGCGCCTCTTTCGGAATACGAAATGCTTTGTGCGCCGGGCAACGTGCGAAAGGTTCGTTGCACCTTGAAATTTCGCGACTGAGGTGCATTTCACTATCCTTCCAACCGAGACGAATCGGCCATCCCCGCGTCGAACCCGGTGTCGTTGGATTTCCGGCGGTTAATCAGCATAACGACCTCCATCCGCTAAATCGGACCGTTGCTTCCTCTTTTTGGAGGAGTTCAATGCCGCTGGGTACGATGCAGAACATTTCCGATTAATCCGAATTGATCTAAACTCCTCTGTGCAACCATTTCTGATCAGCGAACAAGGGTTAATCGATCGGCCTTCCATCATGGGAGATCAAAATCGCGTGCCACGAAGATCAATGTAGCAAGATCTGCTCGCAATTGACTAAATTTAGAGGATCATACCGCGCACCGCAACAAGATCGTTAAAGTAAAAATAGATCAGCTGATTCGTATCGATGCCACAAAGTCGTAATTGCACGTACGCATGGCGTTCAATCAACATTAGCTGCCTTGACCGTTGAGCCCGTTGTCATAGCATCTCCGCGGCTTATTATGAGGCAATGGTTCATGATAATCGCCGGCGGCCGGAGAATGCACTGGAAAAAAGATAGAATACATAATGCATCCGCATGTGCTTACCCTCGATTCAGAATCTTTCGCGTGCAACTTGGAATGTCTTCTAGCTGTCGATTACAGAAGTAACGAACCCCTAAAAAGTACCACCACACACCTAGCTCATTTCTCGATGAAACATTTCAGTATCTGGGCAGCACGGAAGTCGACCAGCCAAAAGGTATCGATGTGGTGAAGGAAGCGATCTGCAAGCTGAAGTTCAACCAACAGCTTCGGAAGAGCGAAGGCACAAAGACTCCGAAGGTCGAGCTGACCATCAGCATCGATGGTGTTGCGATTCAGGAGCCGAAGACGAAAACATCGCCGAAGGTACCATTGCATTCCGAAGTCCATCGAGCGTTAAAGTATTCAGCCAGACTTGATATTCAGTCGATCGCCTCTTTCCAGCGGATTATGCACCAGTACCCACTGCACAGAATATCCTACTGCGCCGACGACAAAGGCGAGAAGAAGTTCTTCAGCTTCATCGCGAAGGAAGAGGACGCGGAGAGGCACACGTGCTTCGTCTTCGTCAGCGATAAGCTGGCCGAGGAGATCACGCTGACGATTGGCCAAGCGTTCGATCTAGCATACAGGCGGTTCTTGGAGACCTCGGGAAAGGATCTAGAAACACAGAGGCGATGCATGGTTCTGCAACAGAAGATCAAGCGATTGGAGCATGAGAATAATGTGTACCGCCAGCGATTACAAGATATTGCTGCTATTAAAGGCTCGGTTAGTTTTAAGAATAGTTATAGGATTTCAAAATGGAATAGCCAGGTTCAGACGATTCGAATCGAACGTTGTATTGAATTTTATGGCTGCTGAGAGCCGATCTCACATAATTCTAGGGCTTAAATGGGCTAATTAAATTTATATGATTTTATAATTGTATAGCCTGGGATTATCTCATGGAATGTTACAGTCCTGTAGCCTATACTTCTTGCCTAAAGGCTTCAATCAACTGATCAGCTCACTAGAATTGTGTAGTTGTTCGTAGTGAGTTTAGAGAGAGATCAACGCGTCCCCAAAAAGTATATTAAAGAAAATTGACTCCAAGGGTTAGAGCTACTCCCCGTGGAGAAGTGTAATAGCGAATAATGATCTCATTATCCTTTTCCTAGGCGGATGTATCGGCTTACTTGTCGCAGCACAACCTACCGGATATCCTACACGTCCCTGGGGCATCAGGCGAGACAACGCAGGTGAACGGAACTAGCAACAAGTCCTCTCTGAACACCAGCAACGATACTAATGGAAATACGCCGAACGGATCGCAACCACCTCCGGTTCCTCCGAGAAGTTTTGAGAAGACTTTTGATGATAACTTTATGGCGTATGTAGTGTACTATCATCACGCGTTGATTTCCACTTTGCAAATGACACTATGCCTTGAACAGGTTTAGAAATTGATTTAGAGTTGAATTTAGAAGAATTTTAATTTATATAAACAGGAGTGAGCCACCAATTCCTACACCATCGGTTGGCACTAAGCTGGAAGGACTGCTGATGGACGAGTTCGAGGAAGATTTTAATCCAAGAGCGTATGAAACAGCGTCCAATGGCATAGCGAATCATCAAACAAATCATAATCCTCTTTTGAATGGACAGATATCACCGAGTTCGAACTTCTTTTCTCAGAGTAATGGCACTACAAGTCCTCCTCCATTGTGTAAGTTAATTATCAATGACTTTTCCAATAGGATTTTCTATCAATGACTTCTCTAAAGTTTCGTGTTTTAATGTGTTTCTTCTTTTTTCCTTTGGTTCAGTGGCTCCACCACCAAAGGCAAAGGATTCTAGACGCCAAAATGGAGTGAAGGAGGATTTATTTGGCAGCATTCCCTTCAACCCACCACCACCGATGAATGTAAAAAATGAGTTCAATGATCCGTTTGAGATGGGCGAGTTTGGAGCACCCACGACGATAACCAATCCGAGCCAGCAGGAATTGGAAAACGCTATTGGCCTTTTAGATAAGAAACTACTTGAAATGAAAGTGCGTAATCTGATTTATACATTTTTATTCAATAGTAAGTGCAGTGAATAATTAATGATTGATATTTTAGGATGGTTTTAGTAGAGGTCTTTCCATCGACACCGATGACTTCTCGCTGGAAAGCTTGGACCCCCTACGAAACTGAACGGAAAGCAACCCTTTAAAAAAGGGAGAGACAAGGGAAAGGCCAATTATGCATTATATGTTCGTTAGAGAGCATAAAAGTCCAGGAAACGTATAGGCAAATTAGGAACTACATTTATACAAAGCCAAAATTAGTCAATTATTATTATAATTATTCTAATCGTATATTTATCGTGATGTATGATATTTATCACACGCCTACTAAATATTGACAGTAGTGTTAAGCTTTGATACCGATCAGTGCAGGATGTTACATCGCTAAAAGATCTTGAGAAAACGAATGGTATTGATACTCGCATTGATTCCGCTATTAATACTGTTTGTTTTTTCTTGGGAGGAATTTAATTGTTTTAACGCACTGTGAGAAAACAAAAAAAGATTGATGAGGTTATTGAATCGAAAATAATTAGAATCTCAGACTCCTTAGAAATCCTCCGTGCCTTCTACTAAATTGTTATATTTACATATGAAGGAACAAAATGCTATTTGGAAATCTTATGAATAGAAGATACTCTATTCAATGAATGAAGTCTTTTCCCAAGAGAATGGGAATTGCCACCCTTCCACATAATCAATTGCAATCGCAGCAAAGTGGCGATCCGATATTTCTTTTATCGGGGAATGTTTGAGAACAATACCGACAATAGTCGTGTCCTTATTATCATAAGGTTTCAAGAGAAATTAATAATATATTTTTATGCAGATATAATCTAACTTAGGGCCAACTACGTCTGTGCATTTCTCGCGATGCGAATTCGTAGAAGAAAACAGAATCGAGAAACTAACTAAAATAGTGATAATCATTACTCTACTAATAGATGTGCCTGTATGAATAACATCTGAAATATTTCCATTGAAATCATTCCCTATTTTTTCCTTCGATCGTTACTCCACTTTCCAAGAAGACACATAAGGGAAAAGCGGATTGGCATGAATGTCGTTGAAGACTTTTAGTCCCGATTTTTGCAGACGTTTATGTGTGTCGAGATCATGCAATGTTTGGAGACCGTGCAAGCCGATGCGTTTGATACAGTAAAAGGAAGGTTATTAATTGTGTACATATGAAATGCTGTTTTATTATTGTTGCTCTATTGTTTAAGCATTATCGTTAAGAATATAATGCGTGAATAATGTAACCAAGAAATCTGTTTTCTTTTACGCCATATCCTACATGCATTCCATATAAAGAAAAGTAAAGCAACATAAACTTTATTCATACGATTCTGAAATGAAAAACATTTATACAAATTTTGGCCTCAGATTATTTATCTGCCATTCTATATTTCATTTTGTGACATTGCTACTTGTGCATTCATTAATTAATATGTACTATCTAAGAATGATTACGTCATAACCACCAAGCTGGAGACGTTTATGCAAATTTATATTTTAATTAACCAGTTGAGAAAAACTGGACAGGATAGCCTACGAAAGGTACAGATAGTTCCTTAATTTTCATGTACGGTTTTCCTTCTATATATTTTATGTTTTAAATTAGGATTCAATATTGAAACTCCTACAAGTATGTTATTTTTTTTTAAATCAGTTAATGACATCGCGAATCTCTAAAGAATCCAGTTCATAACACACTTTAGATAGTTAATTACTAGACTACAAAGAATCTCGAATGAACTAATTAGTTCCCCTCATCAATCTCATAATGGTCTCATAAGGAGGAGGAAATAAGTACAACCTTCAATTTCGTCAAACGCTAAACAGATTGTAGTATGAGACAATATCGAGTGCCACAAAATCGTACAAACAGCGGTCCACCAATGATTGCCATTAAAATCACAAACACGACGATGCTCATGTTTTAAATATTCCCGCGTTGGCTAATATTCTCTGATGTATCGGCCGGGATCGGTATGCTCGGCCTACTATTTTCTCCACAGGTGGGCGCCATTGTCGTAAACGTGGCGCGGCAAGGGCTGCGTCAGTATTCCGCGAGCTTCCATCGCGTTCTGTCGGAGTTCAGCTTTGAGGAAGTCGAAACCGTGTTCCGCTCGATCGCGAGTTGCTGCGGAGAACTGGGAAAAGAGTGTCTTTCGGCCGTTCGACAGGAAACAACCGGGAGGATGGCGGACGACAGCCACGAGAACGGCACCAGCAACGGCGACGTGCCCGAGATCGAGCTGATCATCAAGGTGAGTCTGGCACGCGTGTGGAGACCGATGACGAGGAAGGAGAAAGAGATAGGGGGAAAAAAGGCTATCGTTCCGTGCACGATATGGGCGTGGAACTGGACTGGTTTCTTCCTGTACTCTCTTCCTCCTCTCCTCGGCTTCTCCTTCGTTTCGGTGATCATGAGCGCCGCGCCGAAACGGCCCCGGTGACAAAGGGACGAGATCCCGCGGCCCGTCCGCAAACCGTCTTCATGCAATCGACCCGCGAAATAGTCGTTTCCATTTGCCTCGTCGGTCCTCGTCGGATTCGATCGATCCGTCTCGATCAATCGTCCGCTCAATATTTTCTTGTTAGAACCAAGCGGGTGGACTTCGACTCGCGGAACATGGTCGCGGCGTCCGAGCTTTAATAATCGTATTCGTCGATGACTAATTGCAACCAGTGCGAATCGTTTTTCCCCCGCCGAAGAAGTCGGCGTAAAGAACGCCGATAACATCCACGCTGGATTCGGCGATCTCGCATATATACCGGGTGTCTCGTCTCGCGTAGTTGGAAATACTCCATTTAACGGCTGCGTTTCGGTGGTAATATCCCGGTGATGTTTTGTGGTTTCGTTGGGAGCGATGTTACAGGGGAACACCTGGTGGTAACGTCAAAGGGAAATATAAGCTACCCCGTATACATAGCCTCTTCAGCGGCCACAGTGGCTCTCAATCCCTGTTCGTCACTGGTACACATGGTATTATTCCTCAAAGTTAGCAGTTGGCTTTATTTTTCAGAAAATTCTTCGGTATATTAGCCATCTTCGATCGCAAAAGCCTTGAAATATGTTGTCAAGGTTCATCTTTCTCGACAACTTTTTTCTGTAGATATTTCTTAGTTTTAGCGATATTCGCAAAGAAAGTTAAACAGATCATGTTAAAGATTAGATACTGTTTTATTCGTTTATAATTTTATTAGTTGGATACATAATCGCCGTTGTCTGTATCTAGAAAAATCGAAACGTTTTAAAATGAACAGTAATGAAAAAGATTTCCTCTGTGACCGCAAGTAGCAGTATTTCCTCGAATATCTTTCCATAATCTTTTCATATTCCGAGTATGCGCGTCCATATATGGATCGACGAAATTTGCAGAGTGAATTACTGTCTGATGTTTACGTAATATATCTTTGCTTGCTTGTGCACATTGCCTTTCAACAATCGCTTATACGATCATCATTGTAATTTCGGATGCTGGTCTCGTTGCAGCTGTAGCGACATTCAGAATAATGATCTTAATTAGATAGAAATGTCTAATTTATCATAATTTCATTGATTCGTGACCATAAAAATTCGCGGATGGCTACTATCTAGTGGCAACGAGGTGTTGTTATCTCGTGTCAGAAATGTCTCGAGTGATCAATTAACCTTCGGAAAAAATTCGATAGAACAAAAGCAAATTGTTTTCGTGCTCGGCAACTGTACTACATTCTTTATGGGCCAATGTCATTCAATGGCAAATGAGATCCGACATGAATGTTAGACTCGAAGGATCCGGTAAAGTCAGGTTGGAGACTGCGTGTGTTTATACTACGTCACCTGTGCTCTTCTTGGAAGACGGAAACCTTTTGACTCGACTACGCTATCTCCTGCGGCTCGTTCCTGAAGGTAATGCCTGAGTTCCTTTCTCGATAGAGGAGAGCTTGTCATCGGTTGATTCATAGTTTATTGCTCGCCTTGGCGGCGGCCGCGTCCCTTTTTCCCGCGTAATTTCGTCGGGCAAAACACGACCACAGTCGGTCAATGACGACACGACACGTTCGCGCACCGGTCGTATTATTAATTTAACCGGATTAGCGTCGTACGTGCATAGGCGAAGCATCCGACGAGGAAGAGAGTACCGCTAAGGTTTACCGGTTGTCAGCTTGTCGAACTTAGGAGGCTAGATTAATTTTCACGACTCTTTCCAACATGGCGCGCCATGTTCGCGTGCACGTTACGATAAACATTAATTATAAGGTTTCGTGGTAACCAGGCCATCGGAATCGTCGCCGGATAATTGATTATCTGTCGAAGTCAATTTCCTCGAGGCTCGACGCCGGCGCGTGCACTGTGCGAAATAATAGGTATCAGTTGGAACGCAATTTTTCGCCGGTATAGATAACGACGCGTCTTTTGCGCTCCGACAATCAATAGATGGATTTTCGGGACTTTGCTGTTATCTAGCCTCCGCGTATCGGCATTGTACCAATCGAAGCAACGAGTAACCAACGATAGAGGAAGATTATTTGAATATGGAATACGGGTTCTTTGAAATGTAAGATTAGAATAAGAAATATTTGTAGGACGAGAGATAACCGTGATAGAGGTTCGTGGCGATCGATTCGATCGAGGGCGAACTCGATCCAACTTCTTGGAACGGTCTTTCACCGGTGTGCGTTCCTGGGAAACGACTCCTTAAAGGGAAAGAGGCTTCCCTCGATTGTCCAATTACGAGTTCGCCGATTAAACTTTCGCCAATCCGGCGATCGGACTCGACTCGCTTCACCTGTGTCGCTCCTAATCTAGCTCAAGCCATTCTTGTGAAGCAGTGTCAAACGTTAATCTTATCGCGTCGGACGTTTGATTGCCGATGTATCTCGTTTGCACGATGCACAGTGAGAACGTCCTACCCGGCAACCACTGATATCGTTCGCTATACAAATAAATAAATAAACCACCGGAGCCTGCGGTGTCGATCAATTCGTCGTATTCTAGGGAGCGGTGATAATAATTCGATTAGCTTAACACCTTACCTGCAAGCTTCTTACGCTAAGGTAGCAAAGTAGGAAGCGGGGACCGTACAAATAATTCTGTAGAATCGCTTTGTCGGTAACAACGCTGAAAATGTACAAAATTAATTAACTCGATTCTCGAATTATCCTCCCGATGATAGTATATTTTTGGTACACCCTATACGTTGCACATAACGGGGAACGCACGATAGTTGATTTATTGGCCCGGCACCGTCCTCCGAATTGACATAAATTATCCGTGTCATCGGAGATGTTAATAAAGTTAACACCTCCGCTATTCTCGCATAAATCTTCTTTTTTCTTTTGGAAATTGTTTTATGAACGTTAACGCGTGTTTCATGGGGCGATATTTGAATGGAATATTCAATATGGCGCGGGTAGAACGGCTTCCCTCGATAAGGTGTCGGTAGCAACATCTGTTGAATGTTGGCATGATTTTTTCAAAAGTAGGAAAGGAGGAGGAAGATAGACGTAAGAGAGAGAGAGAGAGAGAGAGACAGGCTAGTAGCATGAAGTGGAATCCTGTGGGAGCGTGAAATAGCCGGTGAAGTTTCATTACACGAGGAGATTTAATGGTAACTGGCCGACCTTGCACTCGGAAGGCGATCATGCGAGGTCCCCGTAAGTGTGTCAAACGGGATGAAACGACGGGGGAGCTCGCCGAAGTCCTCGAGATTCTACCGTTAAACGATGAACTCCTTTACCTTCCGCTTTCCTCGCTCTTCTGGCTTTCTTTCCCCCATTTGCTGCGTAAACACACTCCTTTCCCCCTTCTCGTCGCGATACTCTTCGACGCTTCCAATTGGGGTTACTTTGCATTTGCTCTTCCTTATCGGTCGTTGCCATCCGGGCACTCGTAATCTGAAAGTTGAAGACGCGGACCTCTATATTCTACGCTAATTATTCTTCGTTACTTTCCTCCGTTTAAAAATCACAGTTATTTTGAAACTCGCGCTTTTTGTAAAACGCCCGAGGAGTTATGTCGACGCTTTAAAATATTTATTGCAATCGCAAAATAGCATAAATATATCAGGTAAAAACTTATTTAAAAGGCAAGCGTCCGCGTAGCTTATGCATCTTGCAGTTTTTGTTTAGCATTAAAATCAGCTCGGTCGGATACATTTATTCATAGGATACTGTTATACCATATTTCTTGTTCGAAAACGCGAACGGGAAAAGTATCGCCTTACCGAGCGCGGTTACAAAAAATCGATCGTATGCTGCGGCTTAATCTTCTCTAAGGTCATTACACAAGCGTCATCGGTTTCAGTTAGATGGTCGTGAATTTCCGAGCAGGGTCACGGTATAATATCCTCGCACGTATATACATGTATGTATATAAATACACATGTAAATATCTCCGAGAGATCGACTACAATATAAGTAACAATTTACCAGCTTCGAACGGAAATTTATCTCCAACTCCGTTGAAGCCTATATACGATGCTAATCAAAAATAGCGGATGCACAAGTGTCAATTAGCATTTATCGAACGATCTCAATACAGTCGAGTTTTTCACAAGTCCAGGTACGTATACGTCCATCGGAAACCCTGTATCTCAACGCTTTTAAAATATCTCTGGTCTAAGAAAATTCTAGGCTCAACTGTACAAGCTGAACGAGCAGTTGATGCAGCTTAATGGTACTTTTTATTAAGCGAGGGGCGTGGACGGTAGGTTGTAAGTCATACAAATAGTTTGTACGGCCCGTGAGAACTGTAACACGTCTTCGCACGTGTGGCAGACGTTTATCCTCGAATATATTGACGTCTAACGAACAGTAAAGTCTGCGAACGAGCACAAAAAAGAGGAACACGATGGCATGACGTATCCCAGACGATCAGAGGACGCGTGCGTTATGAAACTGTGTGTTCATTAGTGCGCGTACCCCTGCGATAGATGGTGAATCGTTTGCGTGATCGCATATTTACTTATTTACCGTGTACGGTCGCATAATATGGGATCCGACGGCGCGTACATTTTTTGCACCGTTGTTTCTTCCCGTTTTCCACGCGCGCGCGCGAGATATTAATCTCCTCCTTTATTTTACGACTCGAATTTTCTTAATAATCGCTGACGGAAGAACCGTGTAATTGATCGCTTCGCAAATTACGGGTTAAATTCGTAAGTACACGCCTGCGCTTCACCTTTACACTGCAATCGTTTATAAATTTCAAACTTCTTCCGGGCGCCGTATTTCATTAGCGTTCATTACTATTATGGTACACAACAGTGTTTCTACCATTGGTTGCATACCGAGGAAAGAAATTATCGTAGAAGAGATATTAGATATGAATTAGCACTTCTCGTGGATTAATGGATCAATATTAGAGTTTATTTTAATGTCGGTCGATTCTTGCGGGTATTCGCACGCGTCACAGATTAATGGATCGACGATTCGAATTTTCTGTATGAATTAGCGTTCTTCGTAGAATTTTCGATAGAGAATTGAATTTTTAAAAATAATTGTGTAGTTAGTTCAGGAATATTTTAGGTTACGGTAAAAACGAGCTGATTAATCGTGGCCAGTCGTTTTACATTTCCTCCGAAACCGTAGCACGGTCAGGTTGAAATGCGAATCCAGTGTGTAGGTGCACCGGTGCACGGAGAAGTGCTTATTTCAGAAGAAATCAGGAATTTGCTTCGGTCAACTGCCAGGCCGGGATCTTATATCCGACGAGTACGCGTTTCGAGCGACTTGCCTGGCGAAAAATCGCGGCACGCGAACCGTATTTTTTTTCACGTTCGAAAGGCGAACGAAAAGCACCACCCTCGCTTCGAACAAATTTTCAACTGAAACGAACTGAAATGACTGAAATAACTGAAGTGATTAAATAGTTGAGATATTTAATTACGTGACTGAGGAACGGTTTCGCTGGTAGCGAATGTGTCGACACGTCGCGCGCCGATGCGATTCAACGTATCAAACTGGAACTTGGTGCATTTAATATCGTCAGCTATCAATAAACTCTGTAATTGACTCGAGCAACCACTTTTAACTTGTTCAATATCCAACTTTCGTCACACGCTTGCTAAAGAATCGCGAAACCTGTTGGTCTCGATTCATCGGATAATTTTCCATCGATTTCCATTCGCGCGACGCAGAGATATACATACACACCGGAAGTCCAAAGTGCGAGGTTTCCGAATTTATCGAATACCTCTCGAAATTGTATTTATCGACGCGAAACCGCAACACAATTATTTATCTACGTTTTTCGAATGCATCGACAAGCACAATTGTTCGAGTCCGAGCATTGTTTTCCAAGCCTGAAATATTTTCTGGCGTCTTTATTTCTCAAAATAGCGGGCGATACCCGAAAACCAGCGTCGGGCTGCAAAACAGGCGCGTCGTTTCTCGGAAAACGAACGTCGTTTCGAATTCGACGAAACGGAGTGAATTTCTTACGGCTTGTTTAATAGTTCACGACAAAGACCGTGAACGTCGATTGTAATCGAATTGGCGAACTTTCGCAAGAGAGAAAGGACAATTCGCGGGTATAGAACTCTCGGTGGTCTCTCCCGTTCGAAGATGAAAGACGTTCCAGCGTCTTCGTGACATTTGATCCACCGTCGACGCTTTCCTCGCCACTGATATTTGATGACACGGATACCTTTGCTGGTTTCCGTCGTTGATCGAAGTCACTGAGATCGATTCAAGCTCCGTTAGATCGTCGAAGCGGATTGCCGATGATTGCTGACAATGAGCTGTACCGTAACTCGAACTCCGGGTCTTCGGCAGCTTTATGAAATTTTCGACCTCGAAGTAACACAACCTCGTCGTGAAAACTATGATAAAACGCTGTTATTACAGCGCTTCTTTCTTGGCATTAGGTGACTCTCGTTATCCACTTGTCAACCTCGTTATCAATTAAACTCGGCACGATGTTGAATCTAAAATGGCATTCGCTTAAGTTTCCCTTTTAACTTCTTTATTAATTTTTGGCAATCGTTATCGTCATCTTCGTCGGCTAACTCTTTGCCGTGCTTATTCCGTGGGGGCATAGAGATCACGAATAGGATCGGTGTCGATTATGGCATCAACGGCCAGGCAATTTGTCGCCCCTCGCACGATCAATCTTCCGCGGCCCGTGTCGGGGCCATTTTCCAAAAAGCACACGGAACTGACCAAGCGCAAAATTGTTCTGGCCTTGGCCAAAAAGTCGCCGAGCTTGGCACACCGGTGTGTGTATCTCGGGCTCCTCACCGCGGTGCATGACTTGCTCTCGCTCTTAAAACTCAGAGGTCGAGCTTACGTCACCGGGGAAAAAATACACTCCTGCCGTGTGAACGACGATTCTGCTTCATTCTGCACCACGCGCCCTCCCACCGCAGGAAGTCCCGATACGCTCTGAGATTTCGTTTTGGAAACCGGGGTGGGAGATTGTCGAAATCGAGTGAAAATAGAGGCGACGCTCTTGATGGAGAAGCTGGCACGTTGCCGGGCTTCAATTTACGCGAATCGCGCTAATGCACGATGCTCTTGATTGTGGGCTGCTCGGGGCACCAGATCAGCTTTGCGGGAAAAAAAGAAACACCGCGGAAATACACTTTGCCGAGGAACTTTGGTCCTATTCCAGATGGCCGTCCATCGAGATCGCAGCTTGGATTAGCAAATCGTTATTTTAAAAAGGAAATTAACTCCCTCGTCTGTTGATAGTTGGATAGACGCATTGACTGGCGAACCTCCCGTCGAGATCCAAAGTTTACTATTATCTCCAGATGTATCATCAGTCACGGAATAGTAAAGTCATCATTTTCAGAAACTTCAGGCTCAATTTGTATCCGATTGGTAGAACATATCTGGAACAAGAGATTTTGGTAGCAGACTGGACACAGTTGAAGGCGAGGAAACTTTCGAGCGTAGCCTTGAGGAAGAAAGAAAGTGGGGTGCGTCACCAAGGGAATAAATAAACCGTGACACCGGGAAAATGAGAGCGGAGCGAGTACGCTAGATACTCTCAATTTGCTCGATCAACTGGAGAAAACAGTTCCATGCTCGTCCAGTCGAGTCGCTTTGACGTTGACCAGCATGATTGTGCAAGAACCGTGGCGTCCTCGAATCATAGCTTTATCTTCGAATAATGTGCCCATTCAGTTTCCCTGTCGTTAATAATATGCGGTAGCCGTTCAGTCAAATGTCGTATGATAAAAATCATTCACAATGAATAACAATATAATGTCCATCCGTTTGCAGGCATCGACCATCGATGGCCGCAGGAAGGGCGCTTGCCTCTTCTGCCAGGAGTACTTCATGGACCTGTACCTCCTCGCAGAGCTGAAGACGATCTCGTTGAAGGTGACCACGGTGGACATGCAGAAACCACCGCCAGATTTCCGCACGAATTTCCAAGCGACCCCGCCACCGATTCTGATCGACAACGGGGACGCCATTTTGGAGAACGAGAAGATCGAGCGACACATCATGAAGAACATTCCCGGTGGGCATAATCTTTTCGTGCAGGACAAAGAAGTGGCTACCCTCGTCGAAAACTTGTTCAGTGTACGCATAAATATAACTAATTCCTTATTTTTATAATAAAATAAGCAGCTGACTCTTGATCTTGATGTTGTAGAAATTGAAATTGTTACTACTGAACGCGAAGGACAAGGACAAAGACCCAAAATCGTCGTCGCTGATGGCACACCTGCGCAAAATCGACGAGCATCTGGGTCGCAAAGGGACACGTTTCCTCACCGGTGACACGATGTGCTGTTTCGATTGCGAGCTGATGCCGCGACTCCAGCACATCAGGGTCGCCGGCAAGTACTTCGCCGATTTCGAGATCCCGGAGACCCTGGTGCATCTGTGGCGGTATATGCACCACATGTACAGGCTGGACGCCTTCTTGCAAAGCTGCCCGGCTGACCAAGACATTATTAACCATTACAAGCTGCAGCAGGTAACGGACGCGCGGAGAAAGAACGGCTCAACTTATGCATATTTATGCAAATGTAGCGTACAGGCTAATTTACAGAAACTGGAGTCAGACGAAAATCGTGTGCTCCGCTGAGGCTCATGCGATCCATTAAAATTCACGAGAATCTGAAACTTGAATCCCCATGTTCTCCTTATAAATAGTTGCATAAAGCATCCTGCTTTCGAAAACAATTAATTATGTTTCATTTATGATGGTATATAACGGAGTAATTCATTATAACGTAATATTGCAGAGTATGAAGATGAAGAAGCACGAGGAGCTGGAGACGCCAACGTTCACAACCAGTATCCCAATCGAGGTCAACGACGACTAGGCTGGACCTGTGCCGTCGGGCCTACGATTTCGTCACATTAATTCAAAAAGAGCATGATGATCGTCGGTATCGGTGTGGACACGGACGGTGCATACGCGACGGCGCAGTAAACGTTTTTTTACAATTGTTCTACGACGGACGGCTCCGTGTAGGAAGGACCTAATTAATTTATGAAAAAAAGTATTCGGAGCCTCGCACGCTCTATCAGAAATTCTGCACGGCCTCCATTTTTTGATCGCGTCGACGACGTCTATTTTTACAAATCTTTTGCTACATACATTTGATAAACTATCCGTCGACGTTGTAGTACGGTCCAAATTGAGCGCCGACTATAAGTAGCTTTTTTACCGCAAGACAGGAATATATACATATACGTGAAATGTATTAAGGCCTTCAAAGACGACCACAGTATGCCAGTGTCCAGAGAACCACATGATTTTTCCTTTTCCTTTCTTATCGTTCGTCTTCATTTTCTTTTCTTTTCCCTTGGTGGCTACGTATGACGAATCGTACGTAGATCTGACTTGAGTAGCATTATTATTAGACAACGGCATTTTAATCTTTTACATTGTACTTTAGAGACATCGTGTATTTTTTTAAGAGTTTCTCTCCCCTTCCTCCCCCTCCATCTTTTGATGGTTAGCAATCAAATGAAGAATACAAAAGAGACGTATGCATTCAATCAGCGATTAGCCATTGAATATATTAATATATTCCTCCCTCGATTCCCTGCCTTTTTCTTCTCGGAAACTGTTCTCTGTTTGTCATGTGCACCGAACATTAATTTTCTTTATCGACTCCTGAAATTGCAATGATAGTCTAGATAGGAAGGGATATTCTAGTCCGATGTGTTTTGCATAATATGCAAACTTCAAAAGCAGCGCTTTGGGTTTCTAAATGAATTAATGTGCATACGTTTCTTGGAAGTTCTACGTTGTAATACAAAGTTATTAGTTAAATTCGTTTTCGTCGATTTAATTTGATATTTGCATTTTTCGTGGATGGCTTCACGTGTGTGAAGAATTTTGCGAATAGTATGCCTGGTCGTTGCGGACCATTCTGTAAATGTTGCCTTAAAAGAGGTGGAAGAATCATCGTCTCGGAAGATAGCGCTTCTTATTAACACAGTCCAACGATTTAACAAACTCGGTATTTTCGTATTAGCGATTATATATATTATAATTATATTATAAATGATTATTATTGCTATTATTGTATTACTTTGGTTTATACTCGTAGAAATGAATATACCAGTGTTTACAATAATTAGGTCTGATACTATATTTGTTAGGGCCCCTTCACAAACGCAAAACGTTCCGGTTATTCATAAGTTCACTAACAACGTAGCGAGTTATCCCTTGATTCAAGAAGTTACAGATAGTATCGCCATATTATCCTTAATTTAAATTGTTCAATGTAAAAAATAGCTCAGCTGTTTTCAATATTATTATGTACTGCTACAATTATTATTATAATGAATATTTTTACGTGAGTCCATAAAGAAACACATACCTTGTACGCGGAAGTTATTTGAAAAGTAACTGGAAAATCAAGGATTGAAATTTCTCTTTTATTTTCATCTTTTATACAATAATAGTTGATACAAAGGAGGATGGGAAAATCATAAGTAGAATCCGACGGTCATGAAAAAGAATATGTCCATCTCGACGACATCGCTATCCATTCGTGTGGGTTTTAAAATAGCACGCGGTTTCCCCTTCCTTGTGACCGCAACTATTACGACGCGTCTTCCATTCATAAATAGGGAAGCACTTGTCGTGCGGGCAGCCATCTTGACTACGTGATGGGTGGAGCTTCTTTTATTTTGATCACCGAAAGCGCAGATTTCCTGGTACATATTCGCCGTGCGTGCCGCAACAAATTCTACGGAAATATTTACAACCGGTAAGGATTTTCCTTCGGTTTATCGTAAATCGGTTTCGACGTTTCAGTTGTTCCATTGACTACCGTCGTCCCAGTACGCAGTGCACAGCTGATCAGTGGCCCCGACGGACGGTAGCCGCTCGTTCGTTCCTTGAAATCCTCGAAAAACGACAGAAAAGTTGCCGTTACCCGCGTCACCGTACAGTGACAGTTGCAATTCGAATCCCAGCCACGTGGAAAAAAGTTGCGCCATTTCGAAAGTGTCTCCGTCAAGTGTTCGAAGTGTGCGTTACCGTTTCCCGTACGTTGGACGTTTCCAATGGTTGCCGTCCGGTGAGTACAAGCGCACGGATTTTAAACCGGGTCCTTGCCCATTCAATGCAATTACACCGTGCCTCGACTCCATCTTTAAAAATTCTTTCGCCGTTCTATTTTTCGTGACATTTGAATTCGAAAATCGAGCCAGGAGAGGGACTGGTGGGACTCGAAGGGGAACTCAACCAGAAACTTTTTAATCGGCTACTTTCGGTCCACGCGACACCGAAATACATCAGCGACGGAATGCGCTGGAGATGCAACAACAATGCATCCGCGAGTTTCCGTAATAACGCTGCGTATTTCCAAAGCTGTTTTCCTTGTCGATGCTGATTTCCGGTTTAACTGGCCGCGCGCACACACACGAGTCGTTATCAGCGATGCTTAACGTCACGTTCTTTCGTTGCGCGTCTGCTTCGTTAAGACAGAATTTCGCAAAAATTGATAACGATTCGTATCAGCGGGGAGGAAAGAGAAAATCCATGATTTCGAAGCAGCGAGGAAACCGCGCTCGTTCCGGAAAAATAGCAAACGATTGTGATTCTATTTTCTCGGGCGTGTCATAGGCATAAGAGGCACCAGGGTCAATCGATGCCACGAATTCCAAACTTCGTCGACGATTTTAGCCACACTGACGGACGTGCCACTCGATTTAAAAACTACGTAAGCCGGCGGGCAAGCTTTCCTGGCCGAAAATCGTCCGTTAACCATGCGCAGACGTCCCCTTTGCGATTGGCAATTAAAGTATCCGTAACACAGTGGATACTGTTTACTCTCCGCGGACAGGACAGCGTCCGTTATAGGTTATGTAATCGATACGCTAATCACCATTCAGACCCGAGACCGTCCGCGCTCGTTAAATTCCAATAAACGGCCGAGAGGGAATAAGAAATGAGAATTTTTTGGCTCGCGCAGAAACGAGACTAGGACTCGGCTATATTTGTGATCGCGCGAAAGCGAGCTGCTTAGAGAGTCAATAACGAGCTTTATGGGGCCACGTGAATTATCGCAATCGTAAAGATCCCGCGCACGGGGCGCGTTAAGGGGGCATAACCATTCGACCCCCGCGAGTACATTCTCCGGATCGTGTTACAGCCGAATGGCCGTTTACAGAAACCCGTTTGTTTCTTTTCTAAATCATCCCCATATTATTATGGGCTTCTTGTATGGCAAGTTTGAGATTAAAGAAATTTTGCTGTGAAAAACAACAAATTCTCTCCAGGATAATAAAAAAAGCGATATTACATATAAAGGGCACTATTATATATTATTATAATGCAGAACTTATGATTAAGTTCAGAATTATATATTATTATATATTATCTGTTTATTCATAATGCAGAACCGTCGGGGCATAAAGTATGCTTTCCGCGAGTGAAGGAGCTCTTCAGCAGCTAATCTTGATAATTGCTCAGCATTTCTGGCTTCACCAGCGGCAAGAGCTGTGCTTGAACGTTGGTTCGCCTAATGCGAAGAGCATCCTCCTGCACGTGTAGGAGGGACCTTTTAGAAATATATTTATAACTTTTAAGAACAAAGTTTGTTCGAGCTCGAACTGGCCATATAAACACATCACACCATTAATCTAAGTCGAAATATATGAGGCACAGACGTCCGCCATTCTTCCGTCAAGTCATTTCTAAATGGAAACGATACGAGAAACCGTGACCGTTATTGATAGGTTATCGACGCGGTTCGTTAAGTCATACGCTTTTTTAGCTGACGTTCCGTACGCGCGAAAAAAAAGTGTAACATTATTTTCAGGATCTCGGTGTTTATTTTCGCCACGAGCCGTAACTTATTGAGCTCTGCTTAACGTTAACGCGAATGCGTCCCTCCCGTCAATTATTATTCTTGGTTCCTTATTTTCGTCCAGCATTAAAACCGGACAGACGCACTTTTTCTCCTGTTCCCGTCAGCCATGCTTGTTCTCTCCTTACGTACAATTTCCACGTAATTGCCGATGCTCGTCCCGCGCGCGACTTGGCGAGCACATAATTCAGTCCTGCTAAGGGTCATTCCACCGGGGGAACAATCATTTTGATAAACAATTACTGCAATTACTGTCCGTTACAGCCCTCTTCGACGACGCTCGAAATTACGCGTTTCACCCGCGGCTGATCGATGCTCGGCGTACAGCGAATCAACAGGTGTCTAACGAGATTGAACAAGGTTTCCGGAGCGTTTAACCTGTCTGCTCTTGGCTCGTTAAAAATTGCATCGTAGCGATATTCTTCGTGCTGATAATCGGGAGTAGTACTTGATCTGTTCGATTTTTCACGGCGATGACGATTGTTTCTGGTGGTCCGGTTTGCAGTTCGCTCGAACAGCACGCCCCGGTCGAGACGCATTCGAGACGTTTAAAAAGAACTGCCAAGAATTCTTCCAAATGCGTGAAAATACTCGTAGAATTCGCTTTTCCCCGCATTGCCAGGAGCAGACGAAAACAGCCACGCTGTGTCTCCTGGGTTATTTCATGACACAAATATCTTGCCGGCACGCTGGAATTCCGCTTTTCCTTTTTCGCCTGTCCCGGCGAACGACACTCTCGTTCCTCTCTTAAAATCCCCCCCTGTCACTGATAGAAACGTCCTGCGTGTCTGGTGCAATTAGATCCCTCTTACGTCCTTTTTGTTCGAAAACCCCGGACCGATGCCGGCTCCATTGTGTGCTCGCGCGAGTCGGCATTATTAACGACGTGCCGATTTCCGGGATCGTGATCGCCCGCAGACCTTCGGAGGGTCCGCGGCGCGTTTAAAAATATTCGGTGAAGAATTTTGTTGGAAGTTGAGCGTGGCAATTATTTCGATGGAATTTTCGCAAGCTGTACTCGGGGCCAGTTTGATGTTTTGTCCAACAGTGCTATTTTACACCGAAGTTGCAATAGATCGCGCTAGATCCACAGGGTCGGTCAAATTCGATCCGCTGTCGCGCGTTTCCGCGTCGAATGCTTGCCCACGCGCGTTTATTTTGCAGTTTCGTCATTTGCGTGTCGAAGAACCGTCCGTGTTGGCAAACATTGCGGGAACGGGTAAAAATGTACGCTCCCGAAGTATTTCGATCACTCGCGAAAACGATCAGAATTATTTTTACCATTACCCTCAAAGGTTCACCAAAAATTCATTTAGATAGCCTACCACTAAGTTCCTAGCGGTGTTACCCCTTCTGATTTTGTGCACGATGGCTTTAAGTAAAAGCTTCAAAATAATATTTTCACTATAACTTTTACTATATTTAAATCAAATTATTTATATTTGTACTATAACTTTTCAATGACCGAACAGTGCCTGACCAGTTCTTGCAATTGAACGGGTCCATTACTTTCATCCCTAGAGAACATCACTATTAAAAGTCTTGAATCCTCTTTCGTAAGTTTCGCCTAATTCACAGCCAGTTGGATAACACCTCTTGTAACTTACAGGCCAATCTGTTCGAGGCGACCAAAAAATATTACCGCTCTTTTTTGGCTCGTGGTTCCAAGACTTTCCTCGTTGGGGAGCACCGACACCTCGGTCGGAGCAACAATTCGATACAGGACCGATGCGCGTAGACGCGGCAGCTTGTGCCAATAAACAGTTTTCTTTCTGATTGATGCCTCACTCACCTGACACGCCCGATGCTGCCAGGTGCGCCGCGAACGGAGAAAGGGAAGCGAAATATTAATTCCGCCCAGCGTTTTATTCTTCGTGGCCAGGAGCCAAGTGCGAATTGCCACGCGTTCGGTTACCAATCTCTCAGTTCCTTTCGATCGAGCGAACAACCCCCGACGGTTGCCACTTCCTGTGTCCTCGATCTTAAACCTCACCGCCTCGATGCATCCTCGAGGTAACGGTTACTACTTCTGTCTCTTCTAATTGAAATCGTCAATTCCTACAATAATCGTATATTAACTTTAAATAACAATTATAGAAGAAGCTCTTGCACAACGTTAATCCGTAGAATTTTTTGAAAGATAAAATAATTTTTATCGATAAAATCGTCGTCCCTTTTGAACAACTTTTTAAGAAATTCTGAACCATTGATCGTCACTTTTATCCCTTAACCGGTACAATGATTTTTGAAAAAATGTACCGATTTAATTCTATATAAACATTTCATTGATAATTTATTCTTTGCTATAAAATAATGCAATCGTGGAAAATTTAACTTCGATTACAAAATCAAACAGAGATGCAATAAAGTGTTAAACATTAACATAGAGGCTGGCGTGAAGAGGGTTGAAGATCGTCGGACGTTAATTAGGCTGAATTTGCCCGCGCCAACGGAGAAACCGATCAGAAGATCGCTTCAATTATCCGTTAATTGTCTGTTGACAAGCCATTATCTGCCAACTGGCCATCGTTTCGTTATCCGAATGGTCCGCTCATAGTGCAGGAGGGTTCCGTTAATGCAAAGGGAGTCGACGGCTACCGTCTCTGCTCGTTGGAACGGGTCTTTTTGCGTGTTTCCAACGGGATCGGAAGATTCGAACTGCACCGGCGAATGCATTTTAATTCGCACGCGAGTTGCACCTGCGGGAGGAGGACGCATGCGTGCGCGCGTGGGAGCGCGGCACGCGCAGTGCCGGCTAATTATGTGGCACTCCTACGTTCCACGCAGCACAGGTGTCCACCGTTTCTTTACTCGCTGCCAATTCCGTAACGTACCGGGTGTTTCGGAGTTATCGATCCCCGCAGCCGAGTTTCGAAACGCGGGTTTTTTTGCGCCGACCAGACACATTTTGCCTCTGGCTTTTTGCTTTTTCGCAGAGGCTCTCAACCTGTTTTATTTAACGGACGATCATTTTTCGAGAGCATATTTTTGCCAGACATCTGGTATGTAACTATAATACAACCACCCTTGGGAAATGGGTCGAATGGGCTGCTCGTTTAAAGCCCAGAAAATGGCGATGCTTACCATTATTCGAAGTAAAGCAGGTTAAAATTACTCTGTACACGGTCTGACCTTTAATACCTTAATCTACTAATCTCTCGTTGGCGGTACGATTATTCTAGATCAAGCAGTTAGAAGAGATCCCTGCAGATTTCATTTCATGGGTTTCAACGGTTCCCGATTCAGCCGTACGATTGAGACAGTATTCGATGGAAGCAGATTCTTCCCTTTTATTCTCAGACAACGACGCAGCAATTTTACACTTTATTTATTGCGCGTAATTTCTTTTAACACTGGAATGGTGGACCTTTTTTTTATAAAAATATAAATGAATACACTTGGGATCATTTACCATTTTATTTATCAACATACTTTTTAATGAACTTTTTCCAATTTTTCTCTAGACCTTAATGGAACACGTGTCAACAACTAGATAGTCAAATAACAATATTTATACCCTGGGTCCAGATGAGCCTGAACACCGCTATATCCGGGTGTCAAATATCAATTTCATTACACCACATGAACCCAAATAATTCGTTGAATCATAAGTGCAATCGCTGTCGCTTTTCCACAATCGAATCTCAATTTGGGAAGCCCTATTAGAAAACCGCCGGTCAGTAAAATGTTCACGATCTCTTCTACCTGGTTCATCTGAATTGTTCAACTGTGCCTATCGAAGAACCCAATAACTTCTCCACATAGATCGCGATCGTTCCCCGCGATCTATCTAATATTTCTATGGATCGTCGTCGACAAGTCGGACAATTTGCCTGGACGGGTTCCGTGGTCCTCTCCTTTTCATTTTCTCACGACTTTGTCACCATTAATCGCGACCCGCCGCCTCTGTCCGCTCATATTCCGCGGGCCTGAACAATTTGAAACAGTCTCGGACGACGACACGCGAAACCGCACGAGGAACGTCGTCTTTGGAGGGCATCCAAATCGTTTATCCGGGAAACCGCGAAATTTCCACTATCCCGTCTCGCGAATTCTTGCGTCCGGTGTCTCTTGCTCGAGCTCGAACCGCCATCGTAGCCACGTTACACCCTTAAACAAGGGACACTCGTGAGAGTGTCGAGAGTCCGGGTCTCGGTCGCGAGTCTCGTCGTTGCTCTCCGCATAAAATCAGTGATCGTGTCTCGCGACGAGCCGGACGACTATCCATCGACGAGAAAAAAATCAGTCGCATGGACTGGTGTAACGACAGAACCTGGCACCCGCAGGTAGGCCTTGCCAGGAGGATGGGGGCCCACGATGGGGGAGTGCCATTGCTCTAACATCGCTATCATGCAGCTGTTCCATGAGCTGAAGCAGCAGTTCCCTGCGCTCCCTGATCACGTCGTCTCCCAGTGCATCGCCCAGGTATATGTGCTCTTTGTCCGCCATCGCTGATCCCGGAGACTCGATCCGACCGACGCAATCTTCAGCCAGATCCATCGGGCACGTTCGCTTAACCTGCGGGCTTATTGTGATCGCAACACCGCGCTATTGTTCGCGAAACACTGAAAACATCAGTTAGTTGTCCTAGGATGGTTTAGGGGAGGATATTTTTTAAATGGCGACTCTAGAACCACCAGGTTTAAAGTGACACATCCTGGATTCGATGAAATCAATTCATTTACTCTTGCCAGTATTTTCAATTACAGCTGTGTTCGATTTCAATAAATATATTCTCGTGATTTCTACAAGGAAAGCATCGCTCTGTTATAAATGTCTCGTTTCTTGTTCAACTTTTGAGTATTAAAAAATTGCTTCTAGTTTCTCAAAAATATTGTTTGCAGGCCAGAGAGCATTCAAATAGTTGATAGTATAGTCAGTAGCCTTTTCAGACTATGTCTGAAATCTATAATCGATGTTCGACGAAATTGTTTAACGATAGATGTCGCGATCGAGTGCTCCAGGAACGGCGTCCCGGTTGCACAGAGTGTGCTTCCCTAACCAGCAAAGATTTGCCCTCCTCCCCTCCACCGCTCTCATCCGTCATCGCTGAGATAGTCGAAGCACCTTAACGAACTAACATACACGCGCGTACATCCCGCGGATCCGCAAGCTTCTTTTCCGTGTCCTGCGAATTAACGTGTCCGAACCGTCTGACGATCCTGCCCGTTGCACGAGCGTGGAACCTGTGTGTACGTAAGCTCCTTTGTGCTGAGAACTGTTTGTCTTTTTACTGGAAGTTGATCCTCCGTCGGCGTGGTACGAACCCAGCGCGATACGTACCCTAATCACCGGAACACACACTAAATACTGATCTAATCCCACGAAGACGGAAGTGACGGCGGACTCTTCGTTCGGCACTTCCGGTTGCACGACAATTAATCACTGCCGAGCCTCGGGATCATCCTAGAGGACTGCGGAAACCTCGACGTCTCTAACCCCTTGCGGTCCACCTGTTGCATTTATTTGCGTTCAGCCACTCGGCCAGGGTAATCCCCCTGGATGAATGATCGGGAGCAGTTTACGCGCTCGCTGCTGGCGTCACGCGGGCGTGACACCTCGGATTTAGGGGTGGTTTAATTTAGACAGGGGCATTTCGGATGGCAACTTCATCGCGGACGAAGGATAACCCTTTGCACTCGAATGACGCTGTCGAATGTATCGTAACATATTCGAAAAGAAGTTTCGCATTTTTAAATTCGCTTGTCTTTAATAAATTGTTAAGAACGTAAATGTTGCGCAACGATAAAGAGATATTATATAAAACGAAGAAAGTTGCGTAAAATTGAAGCAGGTCGTAGAGAATGTCTTGAAACAGCTTCGAGTGCAAATGGTTAATATTGTAATTAGAGGTATCCAGTAGCAAACGCGTGAACTTTTTCAACCCTTTACCCGCGAAGCAAGGGATGTTTAATCGTTCGCGCTGCACGCTGACGATACCGCTTAGAGGATCGATGGCCCGCAGACAGGGCAGCCGATCGACTAAACATCCCGATCCATAGCTAGCTGGACCGCAAGGGGTTTAACGCGGCCCGCATCAACCCCTCAGGAACCGCGCGAGTTTAAGCGGGACGACGCGGTGGTCCGTTGCGGAGGAAGACGGCGCGGCGTTGCCCCTAAAATTAGCCGCAAGCTTCCGAGCAAAGCTGGCCTCGAAGGTCCCGCGGCGACCGGAAGCTGGCTGACCCGTTGCTGCGTCTGTGCGTTCCAGAACAGCCACGACCGGGAGACATGCGCGAGAAGTCTGCGTGCCACGCAAGAGTCACGACCGTCACCGGGCGCCTTCCCTCCGGCCGCGGTCTGCGGCGCTCTTCAGCTGCCCCAGCAACAACAACAACCGCCGCAACAACAACACCCTCAGCAACCCCAGCAACGAGCAAACCCAGCGGCCGCGCAGCAACGTTGCTGTGCGATGAGCCAGCCTCAACGAACCGTCACGAGCAACCCGCGCCCACACAGGCCAGCGTCGCTGGACATCGGAGCGTCGCGACGCTGTCCCCTAAGCTGTATCCGGGCCGCAGCCATCTCCTCGTCCCCGCCGATCGCGGGTAACCCTTCGACACCCTCCTCCGCGCCGCCAGCCTGCACCAGCAGGGGCTTCTTCGACGATTGCATCGCAGGACCTGTTGACGCGAACTGCAACAACCATGTACCGAATACCGGAAGCGAGCCGGCCGCGTTCGAGCTGAACGTGAACGTTGCCTGCAGTCCTGCTGGCAATCGCGGTACGCATCGAGAACAGAGTCCTCCCCATTTTTTCTCTTAACCCTGCGAGTACGAAGTGTCTTTAGCAGCTGGTGGTGTTGGATGTGGTCCTCGTCGGCTATGTTCAGAGACTTTTGGAGGATCGCTAAGTTGATCCGGGCATGGTCCGGAGTAACGTTACAATCCTTGTTCTTTGACGTAGCCTCGAGGACCTTCGTCGGACGTCTCTAGACGTTGTTCCGCTACCAGAGGTTCGAGGCTTGCAACGGGTAGTTTTCTCTCGTCGTTCGGAGTGCGATCTCCTCGTTGAAGTTGAATGATTGATGGGAAACACGGTTTGCCACTCAGAACCGAAAGGGTAACTTCCGAGTGGCTTTAGCGCCGAGGCAAATGTGTTTGCGAGAATGTTTACTCGTTTCGGAGATAACGTACACCGGCAACAACCCGAGGGAGCAGTTTGTCCGTCACGACGGAGCCATTTCCGTGAACCGGTGGCTTCGAGTTGCAACATAGTTGCAGAGCCGTAGTTGATGAATTAGATACATGCAGCGGCGTGGTTGCGCAACGTGAAATTACGTGGCTCGGGTGCGTCGTGTTGATATGGAAACGGGAATAAAACAGGTTCCTGCCACGTGCAGCGATGGCAGCGGTCATTTTTAAGTCCGGTTGCAGCGCGTCGTGACCTTGCCACGCGGATGTCCTGCGGACCGCTCGGTCATCGCCGCGATTTAGTAATGTTCGCATCGAAACCGTCGACTTCTTTTGGTAACTGCTGGAGCTACCCTGAGACGATGCGTAGGATGTATCAGAAACTGTGATCTTTGCGTAGAACTTTTTTTTTCCGGTACCGTGATGCCTTCTCGGGAATTATTGCGATTCATATTGAAATCGCTGTTTGGCTATTTGCCACCTTTGCTACTTATTGCAGCGTCTTCTGGCCGTAATTTCTGTAAACATGAAAACAAGTGGAGCTAGCTGTCTGTGATCGGACATGGTAGACGTCTCAATTTTGAGCACCGATCGTTCCTCGGATACCATATGGGAACGGGAATTCTAAGCCTAAAGACCCTCGACTTAGGATCATACTGTTCGTCCGCTTCACCCTCATCTTCGAACAGAAGCCCGCATAAATTGTTTCTACTGAAAAGACATTCTCCAATGTCCCTTCATCAAGGATCCTCTTCTATTCGTCCAAAAACTTAGGGGATACCTCGAACTTCACCCTAGGATTATATCTCTGTTCATCCACTTCATCTTCGGACAGGGGCCCGCATAAACGGACGTTCTCCAATACCCCTTAACGACCCCCTTCGCCGAGAATCCCATCAGTTTCTAACCGCTGATAAATCTGTAGACTTCCGAACGGTGCCCACGATCGGTGGCGCCTGTAAACGAACTGATCTGATCGTCGATCCACGGCCTCACTACGTGGATCCGTTGCTCATCGTGGACAACGCCGGTCCTCAAATCGACCACACCAGAAGCTACACCTCGGTTAGCCTGACCTTAAGGCCGCCGTCGTCGGAGCCACAGCCGCCGATCGATATCAGATCGCAGGGCTCGAGCCTGACCTACTCGAGCTCCTCCCTGGATCCACGGGGTTTTCAGAGTCGCCTCCAGATCAGCATCGGTGCTGGAACCGTTGGCAGCGTGGCGGCAGCTAGGATCAGACCTCCGATGGGTCCCAGCAGGCCCAGCAGCTTGATACCGCCGGTACAAACCGGTCCCCAGAGGCCACCAGGTACGTGACACTCGAAACCGAACTACGTTGTTCTGGCGGATAGCTGTTGCAACGTTCTATCTGTAGATAGGAAGAGAATCTCGACGTTACAAATGTCCCGATTTGCTGAAGAGCGTACCAGATTCGAACAGATTGAACAAAATTAAAGCATCGTCAAAGTTGGAGTCTGATTGATCAATTTTAAAGATCCTTCGAAGAAGAATCGTCTAACCGGAAGATACTCCTCAGGGCTTCCAGCGGGACCACCCAGCCAGTTGCCACGGCCCACGACAACAATGAGTGCCCCAACCACACCCTCGGTACCGCCGGCAACGAACATCGTCCCTCTCATCAGCCTACCAACGACACCGTCAGGACCGACGACGACCTCGCCGCCCTCCAGTCCCGTTGGCGAACGGATACAGGCCAATTCCGATCAGAATCAATCGCCGTTGAATCAAGGTATCCCCTCGCCCCACCTCGGGCCAACCGATTCGAAAATAACCTTCGGTCTATTTTAATAAACCGGTGTGTGCGTGTGCACGTGTGTGTGTGCGTATTCCTGGTTCCGATACCGAGGCGGGCGCGGGCCGTGCTTTGTTTTTCGGTGGGTCTCGTATTATATAGAAGTGATAGACGTATATTTACCTGCTGAGAACCGACCAGTCTGTCCGTCGCACGTACTACGCCCACGCACGTAACACTGAGAACGATATTTACGCATTCCTGACCCCACGCTCCGTCTATACATAGCCAGGCTCGCGGTTACTCTACACGGACCACCTGATCCGCTTTTCCTTCTCACCAGCGCAGCGGCGTCGTCTCGGTGATGACCATGCGTTTCCTGAACGATGATTGTCCGCCGACTACTCCGCGGTATCGGTTAATTGTCCTGAAAAATCGATGTAGCTGCTGGAATTCCGCCTGGCACTTCCTGCGACTACCCCTATCTGTATGCACCGTCAGTGTTCAGACATCAGCCTTAGAACATCAGTCTTAGAGCATCGATATCAGAGCATGGTTCAAAAACAGGATATTCAATCTGCATTAATGATTGTACGATTCCTCAAGTTCATCACAGTTGATTTATCACTGAAGATTTACACGTAGGATAGTTGCAGACAAGAAATTGTTATAATAATCAAAGTCCGATACGTTTTTCTATCGGTACAGTGGCGGAGCACCAAAGGAAATTGGTCGCCGAGCAGTTAGCCCGGAAAGAAAGGCTCGCCAGGGAGTTGAGGGCCGAGAAAGGACGACTCGAAGCGATGAAGAAAGAGTTGCAGTCTCTTTCGAGACCCTTCGATGCCTCGATGCCACCGCAAGTAAGTATATAATTGTCGAAACATTGAAACATTGCATGTGACACAGTTGGAATTCATTCCACAGGAGCTGAAGAGAAAATTGAGAAGCGAAATCTATCAGCTACAGGTGGAATGCGACAGATTGGCGGATGAAGTGGATCAGTGGTCAGATCCAAGAGGTGATTGTCTAGTATTTTAGTTACTGTACAAGAGACAGAGTAACTTACCGTTTGGAAGCTAAGTTAGAATTCATATCTCAGTGTTTTCGTAATGCATAATGCATAAATGCATAATGCCTACTAACGACGAGTCTAGTAGTGACTAGATGCTGATGTTTACGTATTGTCTATGCTTACAACTTTAAGTTCATAACACCTGAAAGTGTCATAAATAAAAATACTGGAGGCTAGTTTAACTTCCAATATGTGTAGCTGCCATCAATGATGATAATCGCTGCGAAGATTTAATTGCTGTATTAATTTTCAGTGCCTCTAGGAGAAACGAACGAAGAATTCTATCAAGATATTTATACCGGTCAACCGTTGCCACCGACTTCCACCAACTACAATCCACCGCCATTGCCTAGTCAACCGCCTGCTTGGCAACCGGATGTCACCGGAAATAACGTTGACAGAGAAGAACGGGACGGTCCCTCTTGGGTCTGTAGAATGTGTACGTTCGATAATCATCCATTGATGAACAAATGCGAACAGTGCGACATGCCGAGGTTGCTGAATCATGGAAACACAGGTACGGCTTCGAGAAAATCGATTGAGGAGATCACGCAGTATCTGACGCGTTTGGAAGCTGAACGTAAACCTCCAACGTCGTCGAAGTAGCAAAAGTGTGCCTTAACAGCATGTGTCTTTGATTGAACTTAATTTGAAGAACTGTTTTGAAGATTGATTGACTCGTACAACTGCATACTGTGATGAAGTGCGCAACGAAAGGTGATAATAGAGTACTATAAGACTTTTGAAAAGAAAGCAATAATGATGTATTGACTGGCCGCGCTACTCCATGCGGTATCAATAAAACAGGACTTAGCGTAATTAATCATAATGCATGGATGTGTCTTATTTTTTCAATTAATTTGTATAGCCCTAAAGCAACTGATACGTTTAAGCTGAGTAATAACGCATGTCTTGTTTACTCATGTGTTGCATTTAAATGAATTATACTCATAGTTTTCACTGTGTGTTGTGTCCTTTCACTCATGGTAAGTAGCAAAGTTTTCAAAGTAGAAAAGATTATATCCAATTGTGTTATTAATTATAAGTGTAATAGAAGTCGAATTTTTAATTTACAGGCGAGACACAGGATATTCATATACGAGTCACACATCATCACAACTTCTCACCGAGCCGTGAGTATATTTTGTAGTACTTTCCATGAGTCAATAATACTGTGAAGATCATGCAGTTGCATACAATATAAAGTAAGTTTTTATTTCTTTTCCAGGAACAGTGCATAGTTGGGTGGTATGATGTGAACTGCATTAGAAACTTGAGAAACTGTATATAAAATTATTATTTAAATTAAATAAAAAAAATTGTTGTAGGAAATCAACAGTTTGCAAGAAGTGGGTCGTGAAAGTTTTAACAACTTAATTCAGTTCTTTTCTTTCGTTTTTTTATTTATGATAGCGTACATCATGTGAAATTAATATAATTTAATATATATATCACATGTATATATTTATATATACATAGTCTAACTTTCTTGACATACATATTAGATTGGGAGAACGCATCTGCACTTCTAGTTACTGAACGGTCAACGACTTATCATTAGTCTGGCTCCAATTTGTATGAGTTTTGAAATACTATTTAAAATACAAGGTATTTGTAGTAAGTCCATTAGTGTGACGTACTCCCGTTATATGGCTGTACCCCTCTCCAAATTCAGCTTAGTTTCACGAGTATATTCCCCATAGAATCTCTCCAATTTCTGATTGAACTTAGCATTACGTTCATTGATGTAATCAATATCGGCATCATCATTATGCATCCTTCTTCTACTATATTTATCCCGTTTGGCAATTCTGTGACAAAATAACGAATATCATTAAAATACATACTAAACAAATTCTAAACACTCTGCACTATAATACTAACTGCTTTTCCAAGTCTTCCACCATCTTATCTACAGCCTCCTTTTTATCTTCATGAAGACCATGCAATATAGTGTTTTTATCCCCATAGAAAGCTGGCCCTAACTTATTTTTGGTATCTTCGTATGTCTCCATATTAGGTCTGATATTTTTCACCAATCTATTATATTGACGAATAGCTGCCTGTTCATAATCTGAGAAGCCTGGATCAGGATTACTTTTGTTTCTCTTTTTCCTCGCAATTCGTTCTGCCTCTGTTGCATCGATATGCAATAATTTGATTCTGTCATAGTCTTCTCCCTGCAAAAATACATAATATAAACAGATTTGTTCTTTCAAGAATACAACATTTCTATATATATATCACATTTTATACTTTTTCTTGCGCCTCTTTTCTCGCAGCCTCATCCTGCACAATCCACTCCGCTTGCCTCTTACGCGATTCCCAATTGGAGGGAAGCTTTTTCCTTTTGTCTTCCTCGACAACCTCCTTATGATTCTGCTGTCTGGCTTCATTCTACAAAAGTAACATTTACTAACTATGGAATTATCCTTTTACCACAATGAAAATAACAATACACTCGCATCAGATGACTCATTATTTCGCTCGAACTATAGAGAATGTTATCTACAAACTTGAAGCTAACTCGTTAACGTGTCAAAAACTCAAAGCAAACATGACTTTCTTAGCCTCGAAGTCGGAGCAATAAATTTCTCACCCTTTTCGCATGTAGATCTCGCATCCGCTTCATTCTCTCGGCATGCTTGTCAGCAAACGATTTTTCACCCGAGCTCGAACCTTCGTTTTCCATCGCGTCCCGAACGTCTCCAAAACGTTGTGCGTATCCGTCGAGGTTAGAACATAGTTGTTCACAGGTCACTTAATCATCTAGCGTCAACGTATGTGTCACGTCAAGGCCGACAGATGTCAGGTCGCACGGTCGCAGTGATTCAAGGAGGAATAAGGCGAGCTCGTTGTTGGCCAGATCACTGTTGATCACTGTTATCGCGCTGGTAGTGGTATCGTTGGTATATTCGCATCGGGGAAAAGTCGGGTGAATTTTCCGTCGGCTGATAGGATCAAGCGTACCGGCTGCGGTACGATCGTGTTCTTTTGAAAGCGCTCTTCTCGCTAGCAGTTCGCGTTTGCGTAAATCTGGATTCACGGTGAAACGTGACGCACGAAGCGTTACTATACGGGTTTACCGCCAACATTTCCGCGAGTTTTCCGAGCGTTTCCCCGCGGATAACAACAGGCTCGTACTCGGGGTGGATTCAAAAGGGTTCGAAAGCTTCGCACGCGCTAACTCGCGGCTCTCCCTATCAGTGGTACTTCAACTCCTGCACGTGTTTCTTGCTCCCTAAGCTGCCGCGCGTATCCCCTCCATTTTAGTGCGCATCCTGCTCGGCACAGGATTTTTTTTTTTTAGAAAGAGAACGAGATATGACCGAGAGAAAAAGAACGAAACCAAGTGGGCTCTATGCGTGAGTATTCGCATGAACGAGAAAGCTAGCTTTTCTCACACTGCTATACTTATCGTATCTTTCTTTTCACGCATCCATTCGGCTGGCGCTACATCTGAGAGCGCACGGTATGAAATTCTATTTGTAAAGGAGCTTGTAAAAGTTTAACATCGAACATCATTCATTTATTCGAAATACCTTCGCAAATGAGATTTCGCGCTGTGTGCCTCGGATGCAGTGTCGGCCGAACATATGCGCGAAAAGAGTGAGTTCGCAAGCACGACGGAGTGAGACAAGCTACATCGTTCATCGGTGCGACTTATTTTGCACGTATGTACAAGTCGTTCGATGTCATGTTTTCTTACTCATTCGTCGTTTTCCCTCTTTGCTTTGGCTACGAGGGCAGCACTGTTTAGCAGTAAATTGTCAGCCAATCAGAGGAACGCAGTTTCTAATCCCATTCTCGCTAACTGAGCAAGCTACGGCCAGAGAGGTGTGCAGGAGTTTTAGCTAACAGCTATCACTATCGTTATGGAGACCCTCGAATCGAGTCGCGTGTGCCGCCTCTGCGGCAAGCACTCCGGTATCTCTATTGATATATTTGACAAGAATGAAAACCATTTGAAGAAAATCAACGCCGTTCTACCGATCATGGTACGTCACTAATTTCTGCACAATTCTTCTCTCTGATTTTCCGCGGGCCCGACGTGTCGTCTCCCAATAAACACGCACGCCCCCTCCTCGAACCACCTACCTTGTGAATCAAACTTGTACGACTTTTCGTTTTACCGGATTGAATCAAACTGCGACCGAACTGTACGTTTTACGCCCGAACAATCTTTCCGATGTTGCTCTGTCACGAGGGGATGGCATATCCACAAGTGGCATTTATGTTGTCAAAAGTGAGGTTATCATTACTTTGCGCGCCAATATGCCTCATTAATTACTTCGACTATTGCGTCACATTGGAAATGTAATGGTAGCTATTTGCTGTATCGATCGGAAGATCGCAGGTGAACATTGTCGGAGGATTTGATCCTGGGGTAATCGCGGCGCCGGACCATGCCAATATCGAAATTATGCCTGCTGGTAGCGTGCTCCGAGTTTGCGGGGGTTGACGGTCACCTCATGATCGCTGCAAACCCCTTACATATTGTTTCAATATTTCTCATTGCTGAATTCATTTTATCGATCGTTATTAACGACTTTGATAACTATTGCAACTTCCTGAAAATGAACTTCTACGATCATCGATTACCCTACGTGCCAAACTTATCGTATCGAGTAACGTTAAACGTTAAATCACTTGTATATCGGGTCGAATTTCTTTAATTGCACTTTCTAATTCCTAGAAAATATGCCACGTGTAACTATACGCGACTCAGATTATTACATCGATACTTTGACCTTGAAATTAAAATGTTTTCACCGAAACTACGCAGAACCATTTGTTCCATACTGAAATTAAAATTAAGCTTTTGAGGCCACGTTATTGCAAACGTTATCATGTTATTCGAGATGTTCCCAAATTCCTGACAAAATTCGAAGATAATTTATTGTACAAATGTATCGACTAGAACTTCACCACTTTACAATAATGCACGGTTAAATTTACATCGATNGCGCGTATCCCCTCCATTTTAGTGCGCATCCTGCTCGGCACAGATTTTTTTTTTTTAGAAAGAGAACGAGATATGACCGAGAGAAAAAGAACGAAACCAAGTGGGCTCTATGCGTGAGTATTCGCATGAACGAGAAAGCTAGCTTTTCTCACACTGCTATACTTATCGTATCTTTCTTTTCACGCATCCATTCGGCTGGCGCTACATCTGAGAGCGCACGGTATGAAATTCTATTTGTAAAGGAGCTTGTAAAAGTTTAACATCGAACATCATTCATTTATTCGAAATACCTTCGCAAATGAGATTTCGCGCTGTGTGCCTCGGATGCAGTGTCGGCCGAACATATGCGCGAAAAGAGTGAGTTCGCAAGCACGACGGAGTGAGACAAGCTACATCGTTCATCGGTGCGACTTATTTTGCACGTATGTACAAGTCGTTCGATGTCATGTTTTCTTACTCATTCGTCGTTTTCCCTCTTTGCTTTGGCTACGAGGGCAGCACTGTTTAGCAGTAAATTGTCAGCCAATCAGAGGAACGCAGTTTCTAATCCCATTCTCGCTAACTGAGCAAGCTACGGCCAGAGAGGTGTGCAGGAGTTTTAGCTAACAGCTATCACTATCGTTATGGAGACCCTCGAATCGAGTCGCGTGTGCCGCCTCTGCGGCAAGCACTCCGGTATCTCTATTGATATATTTGACAAGAATGAAAACCATTTGAAGAAAATCAACGCCGTTCTACCGATCATGGTACGTCACTAATTTCTGCACAATTCTTCTCTCTGATTTTCCGCGGGCCCGACGTGTCGTCTCCCAATAAACACGCACGCCCCCTCCTCGAACCACCTACCTTGTGAATCAAACTTGTACGACTTTTCGTTTTACCGGATTGAATCAAACTGCGACCGAACTGTACGTTTTACGCCCGAACAATCTTTCCGATGTTGCTCTGTCACGAGGGGATGGCATATCCACAAGTGGCATTTATGTTGTCAAAAGTGAGGTTATCATTACTTTGCGCGCCAATATGCCTCATTAATTACTTCGACTATTGCGTCACATTGGAAATGTAATGGTAGCTATTTGCTGTATCGATCGGAAGATCGCAGGTGAACATTGTCGGAGGATTTGATCCTGGGGTAATCGCGGCGCCGGACCATGCCAATATCGAAATTATGCCTGCTGGTAGCGTGCTCCGAGTTTGCGGGGGTTGACGGTCACCTCATGATCGCTGCAAACCCCTTACATATTGTTTCAATATTTCTCATTGCTGAATTCATTTTATCGATCGTTATTAACGACTTTGATAACTATTGCAACTTCCTGAAAATGAACTTCTACGATCATCGATTACCCTACGTGCCAAACTTATCGTATCGAGTAACGTTAAACGTTAAATCACTTGTATATCGGGTCGAATTTCTTTAATTGCACTTTCTAATTCCTAGAAAATATGCCACGTGTAACTATACGCGACTCAGATTATTACATCGATACTTTGACCTTGAAATTAAAATGTTTTCACCGAAACTACGCAGAACCATTTGTTCCATACTGAAATTAAAATTAAGCTTTTGAGGCCACGTTATTGCAAACGTTATCATGTTATTCGAGATGTTCCCAAATTCCTGACAAAATTCGAAGATAATTTATTGTACAAATGTATCGACTAGAACTTCACCACTTTACAATAATGCACGGTTAAATTTACATCGATTGGGCAAAGTAAGGGAATGGGCAAATATATTAGGGAAAGAGAGATAGAGTAATACTTCGAGCAGAGACTGTCAAATTTCGACATTTGAAGGGATATTGGCGATTAGCAAAAAATAAACATGCAATAAAGAACATTTTATGTTTAGTAATTGTCGCCTTATCCTTATAATTGTAGCATCAGTGGCTATCTAGAATTCTTCCGTTTAAAACGAATCCAAATACGATGTAACTTTTAATTCTCGGTAATTCTAGCGTTAAAGAAATTCCACAATTTTTGCACGACCCTGTACGACCCGTTAGCGTCTTCACCTCTCCCCCTCCCCCTCCCGTTTTCAGCGTTGCACGATCATAATCACGAGGAAATACGTAATCGTTCTGTATCGATTATGTACCTGTAGGTGCACGAGATGGACCTGTTGCCGAAACACATGTGCCATCGGTGCAGCTACAAGTTGGAGGAGTTTTTTAAGTTTTACGTCGATTGTCTAAAGACAGACTCGCATTTGAAGAGCCAATTATCGTGGATGGGGAAAGAGGTCCCGCAGGTGAGGGTCGGCACACCGATGGTACAGATCGAGAATATCAAGATCGAGACGCCGGACTACGATGCGGCCACCGTGGACATGACACCCCTGGTTGGCGACGTGAACTACATGAATTCCATGAACACGATGGCATTCGAACCGGACGATATTTCATACGGCGCTTACAGATGCAGATGTTGCTGTGATAAAATGGACCAAAGTAATCCGACTGTGTCAACGAACTATTCGAACACCGCGGAGTCGCGTTGCAGCAGGCTGGAGAACGATGTTGATAGCGGTAGCGATTCGAGAACTATAAAGATAAGCTCCTCGAGCACATCGAAACTTGATATGTTCCAGGAACAATCGAGCGTGTTAACGCAAGTCAATAAAAATGACGATGTTCCAAAAAATGCTGGTTACAGTCTATGTCATATCGAAAACGTTAAAAGCATGGCCGATGGTAATGAAGACGTTAAGAGCGTGATCACTCGAAATCTGAGGCCCAGAAATCTTCTGGTAAACTATGTAGGACAGAAAAGGAAATCACCGTCTCTCAGATCGTTGTCGGGAAATCGGAAATCGAAGATAAGAGCTAAGCAACAGAAGCTCGAGACAACGCAGATGAAGGTGGAGAGGTATGACGACTTCGAGGGTCGGATTCTAAGGCCGAGGAATGTCACGATCGATTACAGAGGGCAGAGGAAATATTCGAAGTCCTCGAATAAAAACCAAAGATTGAACGGTGCCGAGCTCAACGTGAACAAGCGCAAGGTTCGCAACATCGCGAACCAGTTAAAGCTGCCACCGGAACAGATGCTGACTGCGATAGAGGACAGGATCAACTTCGCGGTAAAGCAGGAGCAGCTTGCGGATCTCGAGGACTCGATGCTAAACGAATCCATATTATCGCTGCCAAAGAACAGAACAAATAATAATTTTGCTGATAGAATTAATGTACTGCTCAACAATATTAAAGTTCAAAACGATAGGGTCAATTGCAGTCTTTTGAGTCGTACGCCATCTGATTTCAGTGGAGTAGATGGAATGAAATGTTTGAGGTCAACGAATCGACGAGTTGCGGCGACACATTACGCGTCGAAGTACCTGAGGAGTCACGATTTATACCTCAGAAATGGAAAGAGACGAAAATTAAATGAACCGGACGTGGTCGCTAGCACATTCGTCAGGAACCGTCACAGTCTAATGGACAGCAAACTTAACATCAGGAATCTGAAGAAAGCGTTCAGAGGCTTTATCGACGTGGACAATATTTCCGCGTCGACTAAGTTGCCCTATAAAAATGCCTCGCACTATTGCGAGGAATGTCACACTAGCTTTGTCAGCAAAGAGTTATTTAAACTGCACTTATGTTATCATTGAACTGCGATTAATGTGATGAGATAGAGATATATTTTTACTTGTGCAAATTATATTAATATTTTCGAGAGACGCCAAGGTTAGCGTTATTGTAATAAGTAAGTTTGAGATGGGAACTCTAACAGAGTGCCTTCGGTGCTCTATGGTTACAAGGGTGTATAGAATTATGGGACCCTTTATGTAGTACTCGCGTAAACGTGCGTGTAGATATATGGCAATCAGCGAAAAACATGTACCTTTAGAATTTATTTTGATAACGAATAGTAAAAGCATGAATAATATAATATTTTATTATTTTTATGAACGAATACAATTACATACGAACTATCAGATGCTGACAGAAAATGTTGCGACGAATGTTACAATTTACGCTTAAGAAGTTCATGAACAAATAGTCACAAAGCTCTTCACATGATCTGTAAGTTTGAAATGTTCAAAATTTTGTTTTTATTTTGAAAGCATGAGGTTTATTTAATTTTTCTAAAAGTAAATTTAAACGTCTGAAAATATTTACTTTGTAGTACTTAGTATTGCAAATTTATGGATTGTGTATAGACCCATGTGACTATAAATATTCACAAATCGCCTTCGAAGTTTAATAGATATATTCATATTCTACATATGTATATAATATATATACATATATTTTATGAGATATAAGAGGAATATAGATTCGTATAAACAATATTGTGATACGCAAGTGTTCCACGTCTATAGGAATTTGTTTAATCCATTGTCGCTCTGCACAACAACCTACAAAGATGGTAGAAGCATGCCCTTCGAGTTAATTGTCTTGTATGTCCAAATAAAATCATATTCGATATGCCTTATGGAAGTTTAACGGCAATTAATTAATACATATTCATCGTTTGCAACGAATTGCAAGGCTATTATTATCGGTGTTATATACAGTCGAATCTGAATTGTTATGAAACTTAAATTCTATGAAACATTGTTAATACTTACTAAGCGCACTCTCGACACGTTCTCAGGCACTCATTATTATTGATTAAAAAAAATGTTCTTTAATATTAATCATTACTTTGGCAAATAAAATTCATATTTAAATTACAATTACTGCAAAAGATGATATTTTTCCACTTCTGTTATGTGCAATAATAAAAGTTCTATTCCTTTTAAGGTTTCGATCAGATGTATTTTATTAAATCGTAATCTACAATATTCATATTAAATTTTTGCTTAATCTAATTTATACGAGGGTTTTGAATGTCAAGGTTCGTCACTGGATAAGGGAGGTCGCTGCAAGGCGACCATCGAGCGAATTGAAACTGACAAACAAACAAAAAGTACGGCAAGTGTCAAACCACCGCAGAAAGATGATTGATTACGTTAATTATAGTGGCCAAAAGTTGTGTCAATAAAATATCCGAATGTCTTCGAACTTGAAAAAGTCTCCTCGCTTCGAGGACGTAAGTAACATCGATTTTTACACGCGAGTTACGTTAACCTGTTCCAATTCACAAAGCCCATCGGTTTCTTTTCAGATTGCAATTTATATACAGAATTTTTTCGATCGGAAAACGATAATAATAATTTTGGGTTTTATTTTCCTACAGTTTTTAGTTTCGTACATAATAAATACAATTTTTATACAGCTGATATCAACTGAGGATGACACCTTGGGCTCTTCCATAAGTTTGAGCATAGGGGAAAATTCAATTAGAGTTAAAGAGAAACCTAAGGTGAATAAGGAACCAGTGCCGAGTGAGAAAAATGAGAAAGAGAAATGGTGGTTGAAAAAACCAGATACCAGACTTGAGCTTTCTAATGCCATTCAGATGGAAGCCAAAGTGAAGCAAACACCTTCTCCATCGCCAGATATTAGCTCTTCGATGAAGGAATTTCTGGAGAAAGAAAGAATGTGCAAAGTAATTGAAGAATATCATATAGAATTTAAAATTCGTTTCTTCTTTATTCTCTGATACATTATATTATTTTACATAGGCCATACATAAAAATGAAATTGAAACAAGGGACAGAGATGATACCTTGTGTGATATTTTGGCTTCTACAGCCTTTGACAAATATCCATCCGATTTTGAGAGTGAGTCTACCATATATATATATACTACTCAGAAATAAAGAAATGGATCAAATCTTTGTAATACCTATAGTGTTCAGTATTGCTTATGATAAATCATAAAAAATTAGGATTACTACTACTTCTTTTTACAGATGCAACTGATGAAGACATAGGTAGTATCTTAGAGGAGATGAGTAAAATAGCTGGAGCTCTTAGCCCAAATTCTGCTCCAGATCGCACAAAATCTAGGAACTCTTCCAAAAATCCTACAGAGGAAGAGAAGTCAGTAGAAGAGCTGTTAGAAGAGGCTGAGAAGCTTGTAAGGAAGAATAGCACTAGTTTATCTAAGAGCGGGTCGAAAACTGATACTTTAGTACCTGAGAATATCCCTGAGGACGTCGATGGACTTAACAGAGTTAGACAACTAGAGGCGGATATTTTTCAAATGATTGAGGAGGAGGTGCACAGAGAGACGGAGAAAATCAAAAGGAGCCCAAAAAATGAGAAGAAAAAGGAAGACAGTCCTGGATTTGATGTCTTATATGAGAATGTGAACAGCTTAAGAGCTCCGAAAACGTTGGAGTTGCAAAGAAAGAAGTTCGAAGAACAGAAGGTGGAAGTATCAAGTAGTTCCGACTTGGACGATCCAATCGAAAGGCATTCAAAATCTGAGGACCTGAAAAGTACCAGGAAGGTGGAATCAGACAAGGATAATCTGCAGAAGGAGATAATCGACGTGGATAAAGACTTTTTTGAAGATTTACTAAAGAAATCGAAGGAGAGAGCCGAAGGAGGCATGTCGGGGAGCTCGAGTTTCGGACAAGAGGATTTCTCGCATTTTTTGAAGCTTTTACAGGGTCAGGCGGACAAGAAGGAACAGGACAATCCTACAGATACTTTGCAAACTGCTAATGAGAAAGTATCTGTTGAGGAGCAGAATCTCGCGAACGACAAGAGTCCGGTATTTCCTGAGAAGGAAATTACGGACATATTACAAAAAGAACTACCTCAGACGGAAGATTCAAAAACGGAACACGAAATTGTAGAAACAGATTCTAGCGCCAGTGGAGACGAACAGAAATCGTCGCAAGATAGCGACAAAAACGAAATAAAGATACCCGTTAAAAAAGATCAGTTTGTAAAACAAATTTCTGTAATAATGGATGATAAGAAAGAAGAGCTGTTCACTGTTGGTCTCACGCCGAGGTTGGGGTTGTTTGCGGATGCAATCCCCAAGTTATTGGCTGAGAAGTCGGTAGAGAGTGTAAAGGAATCGAAGACAGAAGTTGCAGAAGATACGAAAAAGGTTCAAAAAACATCGACGAGGTCTGAAATTAAAATCGAAGAAACAACTAGTCAGCGTAGCAACATAGAACGAAAATCCAATCAACCAGCTAGTGCATCAAGTATTAAGCCACAGAAGAAAGAGATTAGGTTTTCCAAATCCAAAAGCTATGATCAGATTTCCAAGCCACCGTTCAGAACTTCTCTAGAGAATTTGAGATCTGCCAAGCCATTGGATTTCTCAAAGAAACCTGCTCCTACTGCGGCCAGGAGATCGCCAACTCTTAAACCAAAATTACAAATTACTGCGAAACGAATTCCAAAAGCTCCTCCTAAGCCCAAGGTATCTCCAAAATCAAACAAGGACCCTGTTAAAACTGGTTCAATGCTTTCTTTGCCTTCCACGTACAAAGGGTACCAGAAATCACCGGATATTCAACCGAGGACTGCAATGGCTGGCGGCGACAATAGGATGAGCATGGTGAAACAGAATTGGGAGATGTTGTGTCGCGAAGAAAGACATAAGAACGCTCTTTTGAAGCAGCAGTTGGAGTCCGAAGCGAAGATGTACAAGAGCCAGATGGACAGTATGCGTATATCTTTCGAGGAGGAGCTGTTTGCTTTAAAGAAGCAGAATATAGTTTTAAAAGCGAAGGTGGACGAATTTTCGTTGAGTGAAAGACGCCCAGAACCTCAACATAGAAAGGACACGAAGATTACACTGATGGAAAAGGAGTTGGAGAAGCAGGAAAAATTGATTCACGGCTATGAGACCGAAAATAAGAAGTTGCTGCAAGACGCTAAGAGGTTGCAGGAGGAAATGAAGCAATTGCAGAAGCACAAGAGTACAGCACTAGAGTTGAACAAGACGCAACAGCTTGTAGACAGGGTTAAGGATCTTGAAGAGGAAACTCTGAAGCTTAATTTAGAACTTTCCGAGCTTCGCGAAAAGAATGCAGATTATGGATTAAAGAATGAGGACTTGAAAGAACAGAATAGTTTGTTGAATGACGAGCTGGAGATGTTCAAAGATCAGCTGAGAACGAAGAACGACTTCATCACTGATAAACTGCAAGCTATGACGTCGGTGGAGCTCCAGTTGAAGAGACAGGTAGAGGATTTGTCGGTGAAACTAAGCTCCAAGACAGAACAGCTGCGAGTAGTGAATCAGGAGTTCGACAAGCTCCAGCAGAATGTGTTGCCACTGGAGAAGGAATTGTTGGAGTTGAGGGTCAAGGAAGGCATTTTGCAGGAGAAGCTGCATGTGTCTAAGAATCACGTGGAGCGTGAAAAGCAGCTGACGCAGAAGCTGAAGGATCAGGTGATCCTTGATAGCAAGAAAATCACGGACTTGAACAGGCAGGTGCGTGAAATGGAGAGAATACTTAAAAGAAAGAATCCTGACTCGGTTTCTGCTCTTATACTAACTGCAAATTCAGAACAGGACAAGGTCGGAACTGAGAAGATAAAATTGTTGGAAGATCGAATAGCGTTCTTAGAAAATGAGATCAAGGTGAAGGATGACATGGCGCAACAGAAGCTCATAGAATTTCAGAAGAAATTCGCCGACATGAAGGAGAAGTATACAACACAGTTAATCGAGCTTGAAGGGAAGCTGTTGGAGGCTACTATCAGAGATCGTAAGATCTACAATGATATGTTCACTCAGACTGCAGTAAGAAGTGTAGAGAATAAAAGTGTGGAAACTATCAGGAGGGAAGAAAGAGCAGGATCCTTTGAGAAAGAAGAGAAAAAGGAGCAAAAGACATTGGTCAAAGTGAATTTGAAGTCTCAGAATCCTAAGGAAGACGCTCACCTCTTAGCCACTATAAGAGGATTAAAATTAGAATTGACAAACAAGGATAAAACAGTTTCTAAGCTCACCAAAGAATTCCAAGAGTTGCAGAAGACGAATAGGAGGCTGCAGAAGGAGAGGGAGAAGTTGTTGAACGATAGGAGATCTATCAAGACTATCGACTTCGAGAAGATGAACCGTGCTATGGTATCATCTGACTCTAAGTTGTTAAGCCTGCGATCTGCAGAGGGAAATGATCAGAACTCCAATGTCTACCAAAACGGACATAATAACGAGACTCAACGGTTAACTTCGTCCGTGCAGAAACTATACGATCCTCTACAGTACACCGAGAATGGAGACAATACTCTGGTGAAGAGGCTCACTGATGAGAACGACATCTTGAAGGAGGAACTGAGCAAGATGAATAAAGACTTTATGGCTCTCAAGAAGAAACGGCTGTACGATTTAAATCTTTTGCAGGAGGAACATGAGCGTGAGATGGCTGCTTTGCTGAAAGATTATAGTGTGAAAATAGGAGACTCAGAAGTGGTAAAGTTACAGGTCTGTAGTATTACGTGCAGTATTAACTGTTGTCTTTCTTTTTCGCATTTTGTTTCGTTTCTGAATGCTTGCACGTAGTACACTCGCACAGTGAACATTTAATCTCATGCATACTATTTATATTTCATCAATAGAGTCAGATAAACACGCAGGTGGCTGTGATTTCGCATTTGAAGCAGCAAATTGAGAAGCTGAGAGACTATAAGGAACAAGTGGTTGTTTTGACGGCTGAGCGGGAGCACTTGGAGAACAAAGTAAAGAGTTTGAACGAGAAAGTCAAATACTTATCAACACCAGTATGTGACCAATTATTTAATCATTATTATTACTCCAGTTTTTTAATTTTTATGTAATCTTGCCAGGAAGCAACTGTTATTTTTGGTTCCTAATTTGTGCGTTTGTTCTTAGGGCACGGAGCAGCTCCAGTTGTTACAAGATAAGATAACGATTCTTCAGCAACGACACGAGAGTAGGGAGATGACCTTGCAAGGTCTAGTTCGCGACCTGCTTCGAAATCGAACGCAGTGCAGGGACTGCAAGAATGAAAAGGGCAAAAATCGACAGTTGTGTTACTTTAGGCAAGAGCTGGATCATATCCTTGGAATGCTCCAGGAGATCACCAACGTTCAATGATTCAATGGACTGCGTTAGATCAGGGTCGCACCTGGTGCTCCCGTAATGTTGAGGAAAATGATGGGTCTCCTGAAAGGAAAGACATTTTCTCGATTCGTTATTGGGCATTGTGATAATTTGTACTGTTACAGCGAGGAACCTAAGGTTTTGCTAGCAGACGTTATCGTTATATTGTTAGGTACTTTGTATAAACACAGGCGAGGTATAAGATAGCTCTAATGTCCAGTACAGTACTTCTGTAACGTCCCTTAACTTTGGAGAGCCGATAGAGATAAAAACGCAATGCTAAGGAGGAAAAATGGTATCTTTGTATCACATGGAAAGCTTTAAAATTTCATTCTCGTTATTACATCTAATTAAAATAGGATTACTATGTATCATTAATAGTCAAACTTTGTCAGGAACAACAGATGGCTAGTCATACGAAATCTGTCCTATCGTATGCCTCGTTTGTGAGGAGAAGAATAATGGGATGCGCAGCCAAAAAGATAGACCGATGATTTTTATCGGACCTTTCAAGATTGCGACCATTTAACTGTTCAAGGTCATTCTTGCAATATATTTAGACATTATTAGCGTATAAACCAGTGAAATCATATCGATCCTGGGAAAACTCGCGCGTAACGATCGACTGGGATCACTGCCAAAGATATTAAAAGTGGGAAAAGAACAAAAAAATGGGAAACGAACAAATGACGATGTTACCGTTTTATCGTAACTGCTCGTCGACATTCCTTCTTGCCATTGTGTGCGCGCAAAAACGCATGGACTACGTCCGTATTCGGAAGTGTAATAAAACTACGATAGTCGTTTATCAAATGGACATAGAAATATTTTGATCTATATTTACTGAAACAAAAATGAACAGACTTTTTATTTATCTAATGACTAGTGAGATTAAAAAGACATGTCGAACAGGACTGCTTCCGCGATCGGAACAAATAGCTTTAGTCTGGTACTTAATCGCCGTGAAGATTATTTCACGAGTTCTCTAGCCGTACGGAGTATACAGGGAGTCACAACCATAATTGTACACTGCATATGAAACTACGCTTCACATGGTGGAAAGAAATTAAAGATGATATTAGAGAGAAAAAGCATACACTTAATGTAATCTATATTTATTCTGTATTAACATCAAGTGAAATTAATCTTTTTAGAAGTATGACAGAAATAAGTCAGCCTGAAAAGTATCTCACACTTAAAATCGTATACGAATAAAAAAAATGTTTGAAAGTTTATCTAAATTAGAAATTAGTGTACTTTGTAGAATTTTGGCTGTGACTCACTGTAGTTGGAAGCTGGATCAAAACAAGATATCTTCCAGATTCGCGTAGATCGTAGTTTTTTACATGAGGCTTTTTTAGATCACGCTGTATATTTAAGCGTTGTCTTTGATTGTTTCGACGATCGTATTTATTTTCTACTTATACAGGGTGTCCTAAAGTAGACGTCATTCGCGCGATGCCCTCTGCGTTGGGGCACGTTGTGTATCGCTCATTATTTCGCCATCAACGAAGCCATTTCTACACCCAGAGTCGTCCAATCGTATATGTATTTAGTACACTTTAAGGATAATCATCAATTAAACTGTATTTGCACTCATAAAGCACACGCATATCGCACAAATCGACGTGTCTTCAGTGTAACATTTTTCGATGTTCTATCTCTTGTTCTATAGATCTCATCGTTGATTATAGAACAGTCTGTTGTTTTCTGTGTCACCTGGCACCTGTTTTTATCGACTCATTGTAATCACTACACCGCAGACTATACAGATTTAACTTCATCAAGACTGGATGTTATGTCAAAATCACCACACCTTTTTTTATAGTTATTTTTAAGCTAAACCGCCGTGATGTACAAACCACGAGATTAAAACTTTAATAAATTAATTTAATTCTCTTTACCATTTATCTCGGCGACTCTCTGCATTAATTACACTAAATACATTCTACTCTTCCCTCCATTCAAAACTACCAACTTCGATTGTTATATTCCAACTAATTGTTAAGGCCGCTATTAAATTTTTGTAAACGCTGACAGTTTAAATTTGTCTATAGAAAATTTAATAGTTGTTTTCGAGGACCGTTATTTATAAGAAAATTAAATCTCTTTTAAATAGAGCTCAGTCATTAAACCTATCGAATTATAAGGAACTTTTAGGAGAAGGAGTATCGTACACGTAAGTTTGATTTGAACAATTTATTCAGGCAAAATATATCTTTCTAGTTATAGGCGTCTACATCGAATATAACGATTCTATTATTTTACAGATCGAAGACAATTGCAATTACAACACGTGGGATTATTACACTAGAACAACGACTAGAAGCAGGTTGGAAATAGCGGATCGTCGTTTGTGTAGAAAGGGTGGACTCCTTCGTTTACCATAGAATTAAGCGCTGGGCCTGTCTCCCGAGGTTGCTGTAACAAACGTTAAAATAAATATTTTATTAAATTGCTATGAACCTCTACAATTATTGCAACTGTATGCTGTCACTCACCTAATAAAAGAATCCTTTCTACGGAAGATGGACAGTCCATAGAGAGCACAGAGACCAATTACAATTGCCTGGCGTAGAATTTCGAGAACCATGTTATCTGTCACAGAGTCTTCTTCTTTCAGAACGCTGCCCGGGGTCTTCAACCTCGAAGAGACATCATCGAAATCAGAGATCCTGTGATATCGGGATGACTTAAGATGTCGAAGGGAGTCCATCGAATCTTTCCTTGAATCGCGGGAGTCACTCAGATCCACCAGGCGAGACCGTCGGACATCATTCAAGGATCTTCGAGTAGCTATCAGTCTTTGTCTCCGTTGAATATCATTTGCATGATCGTTGCTTCGTTGCAATCGACTAACATCCATCTTTTGTCGCAGGAGTCGTCCAGAATCCAGGCTTCGATCGATTATTTCCCGACGATTCAGAGCAACCGAGGATCTAGTCAGCCTTCCAGCATCGAGTACCCGACGTTCTGTTCTGCGATCAGCTGACAAATCTCTTACGCGACGTTCCAAATTGCGAGTGGTAGCTTCGGAAGTCCTGGTACGAGATTCGCGGGCTAAATGCAACCGATTTAATCTTTCCCGGCGTTCCAAATTAAGCGTAGCTGGTTCTGATAAACGACGATCGGTTCTAATTTCTTGACGATTCGCGGAGTTCAGTCTGGCGAGATCCATGGATGATCGACGTTCTGATCGTCCGTCGAGCCTGATTTCTCTGCGTCTGTCATTGTCGTCGAGTTTCCTTTCCAAAGATCTAGCACGAACGACTACCCTGCGTTCTGTTCGTCGATCAGTGGCTAGCTCCCTAACTCGCAGTTCCAAGTCGCGTTTAGATGCCTCGGGTGTCCTGGAAAGAACGATTCTTGATTCACGTGATAATGTTAATCGCCTGGTTTCTTCTCTACGTCCCAAATTGTTGATCCTGGAGCGATCGTTCCTGATTTCCTGGCGTTCTCGACGTTCTAACGATCTAGATTCCACGGTTGCCTTACGTTCCGATCGCCTGTCAGCCGATAGATCCCTAACTCGTCGCTCTAAGACGCGTCTGGAAGCTTCGGGTGTCCTAGTAAGATCAGTCCTGATTCGTCGGGCAAGCACAACTCGTCTCGGTTCCTCTCGACGTTCCATATTGTTGATTCTGGATCGGTCACTTCTGATTTCCTGACGTTCTCGACGTTCCAGAGACCTGATTTCCATAGTTGCCCTACGCTCCATTCGTCTGTCAGAAGATTGTTCCCTAACTCGGTCCAAATTACTGATCCTGGAGCGATCATTCCTAATTTCCTGACGTTCCAATGATCTAGATTCCACAGTTGCCTTACGTTCCGATCGTCTGTCAGCCGATAGACTCCTAACACGTCGCTCTAAGACGCGTCTGGAAGCTTCGGGTGTCCTAGAAAGATCGGTCCTGATTCGTCGGGCCAGCACAACTCGTCTCGGTTCTTCTCGACGTTCCGTATTATCAATCCTGGAGCGATCATTCCTGATTTCCTGACGCTCGCGACGTTCCAATGATCGAGATTCTAGAGTTGTCCTGCGTTCCGTACGTTTGTCAGTCGAAAGATCCCTAACACGTTCCAAATTGTTCATCCTGGATCGGTCATTCCTAGATTCCCGATGTTCCCGACGTTCCAATGATCGAGATTCTGCGGCTGCTCTGCGTTCAGATCTACGTTCCGCGGATAAATCCCTAACACGTCGGTCCAAGTCGCGTTTAGCTGTTTCGGGTGTCCTAGAAAGATCAACTCGTACTCGTCGAGTTAGCACAATTCTTCTCGTTTCCTCTCGACGTTCCAAATTGTTCAGCCTGGATCGGTCACTCCTAATTTCCTGACGTTCCCGACGTTCCAACGATCTAGATTCCACAGCTGCCTTGCGTTCGGATCGCCGGTCACCAGATAAATCCCTGGCTCGTCGTTCGGAAGCCCTGGCAACTCGATCTTGCGAATCTCGTGTCCGTATTTCTCGCCGTTCCAAATTGTTAATCCTGGATCGCTCGGTCCTAGTTCCTTGACGTTTCGCGTCGGTATACGTTTGTCTTTCCACAGATCTCCTAGAATCTTCCCTGATCTCTGATCGTCGATCGCTAGACAGATCCCTTACTCGCCGGTCCAAATCGCGTTCAGAAGACCTAGCAACTCGTTCTCTTGATTCCCGAGCCTGACGGTCTGCATTAAGTCGGGTCGATCTTTCTCGTCGTTCCAGATTGTTGATCCTTGATCGCTCGGTCCTTATTTCTTGGCGATTTGAATCCAGGAGTATCCTACGTTTCAATAGTCGCTCGGTAGAGAGATCCCTTACTCGTTGATCTACGTCGCGTTTCACACTCTCGGACGACCTGGCAAGACGGTTTCGGGAGAATCGATCCACCCTAGATTGTTCCAACGATCGAGATTCGCGTCTTTCGTTCGATCCAGCGTCCAATCGGCGATCCGATCTGGCCATCCTTTCCCTTCGTTCGTTACTCTCTTCTCGTCTTTCCGATCGAACAGCAGCACGGCGATCGAGATCTGATTTGGAGGCCTGTCTGGTTGCCGATTGTATACGATTTCGACTGTCAGTGATTCTAAGGGATCGATCGATCTTCTCGCGACGAGAATCGGAAGTTTGCCGGTCCATGGATCGTTCGCGGGAATTTAGCGTGCTCCTTTCGCGTCGTTCTTCCACGCTTGCCGAGCGTTTCGACAGTCTTCGATCAGGTAGGCCGTTCATCGTCCGCGAATTTAGACGATCCAGGGATCGAGAATATTGTCTATTGCTTCTGGAATTAGTTGAGGTTCTTTCTAAGGCCCGCGATCGACTCTCTTGGTTTCTCGACGCGTCAGAATTTCGTCGTTCGTCCGAGACAGACCGAACGTTTCGTCGCTCTTCATCGGAAACCGAACGGACTTGACGATCATTCGCCAATGATCTACGATCTTCAGCGCGTCTGTCCACGCGATTTACCAAGGTCCTTCGACGATCTTCGCGAGCGATTTCCCGGTTCTGGTTAAAGCGGCGTTCCAAATTCGGTACACGACGATCCAAGGATCTAGCCCGGCGTTCTCGAACCTCTCTACGATCGTCCCGGCTAGTTTCACGATTCAGAGTCGATTCGCGTCGTTCCATAGAGAGAGATCTACGGTCCCTAACGTTCAATCGATCGGTGGATCGTTCTCGCCGTTCGGAAAGCCTAGGTGCCAGAGTTTCGCGATGTTCCCGTCGGTCGACAGCCGATCTTCGTTCAGTGCTGCGCGAGCTACGATCCAAGAGTCGGGATGCGGAGCGTGCATCGAGGTCCGAGGATCTAGAAAGTCTGATCGGACTCGACGAGCGTCTCAGTGATTCCTGGCTTCGGGATCTGAGTCTGGAGAGATCGGTTGTTTTTCGATCGGATTGCCTTCTCTCGATCCTGGAGTCGCTCGTTGATTGCAGTCGAACCTCGGAACTGCGATCTAGGCTCCGCGATCGAGAGATCCTCGGACTATTTGCTGGAGGACTGGCTCTTCTGGCTGCAGTCTCTGCAAATGTCTTCGGAACCCTGGTCTGGTCTTCGTAGAGGCTCGAGTAAGGCATTTTGGTGGAGAAGTATGAGTTTGGACAGGCGTCGACTCTGAAAATGCGTTATATAATTAATAGGGCATTGATTTGTTTTTTATTTATGCGAATTTTCAAGTCTTCGAGAATCCACGCATCCGAAAATATTTTCATTATAGATAACAAGTATTTTCATTGCATTGGCCAACTATTATCCCTCCCAGAATATTTCATAACAAGAAAAATACTAATTCTTTATTTGTTTTTAGAATGGAGAATATGCGAATAACTTCTGAGACTCTGAATTCCAAAATGGAATGCATTTTGTGAGTATCGTTTCTCGATTAAATCCATTTGAAATGTATGCAAAATTAGTATTGTCTTACTCATGGGGTGCCTGATGTTCTAGTTCTGGTCCTGCTAGACTTCCTGCACGGCCTTCCTTATCCCTGGACACCAACCCTAACGTTAAACACGCTAGGGACACTATCAGGAGGCCGATGTACTGCCAAGCCTTCACTGGCAGCGCAACGTGTCGTGTGCGCCGCATCCTGTACACCGAATAATATATTGATTACCAAAAAATGTCGTCCAGAACCACAGTGTAATCATATGGTATGTTTTAAAGCGTGAACAAATATGTATATAAAAATGAAATGATAATGTTGTGGCAAATTTTTATGAAATCGAGAAATAGATTTGGAACTAGTATAGCTGATAGATAATTTATTTAAATCTACAAGAATTCCTTTTCAAAAATTATTATTATATAGAATTATATTATTATTATTATTATCATAGAACACTAGCATAGATTTGGAACTAGTATATAGCTGATAGATAATTTATTTAAATCTACAAGAATTCCTTTTCAAAAATTATTATTATTATATAGAATTATATTATTATTATTATTATCATAGAATATTAGCACTTCCCCTTATAGTTATGTATTATGTAGATCAGTCTTTATTGTCTCTATGCTTTATAAATCTCTCTCAGTTTCATAAATCTCCCTTATGTCTGTTTATTTCATTTCAATGTTTCATAAATATCGTTTTTAATTCTTTACTTACCTGTACGTGTTCACTGAAGCAGTTCTGTGTTTCCTATGGTAGGTTCACCGTAGTCAGAGACTTCAACGCTCGGAGGATCGTTGTTGCTCCTTGAAGCTCCGGAGAGCTGCTGATGCTCCAAGCTCCAAGGAATCGGGCTTTTATACTCGCCGAGATCTCCCGCAATTCGATAGAAGTTCAATTCACCGCTTATCAGCGGCGACCACATGGGACCCCGTGCTCCGATACGTGAAAATCACCGCGAATGAAATCGAATCCGCCGATATACCATGGGGATACTGCAAACGCCTCCGTAATCGGTTAACCAGCCAGAAAATTGCGATCCTGGACACCTGTGAAGCAGCTGATATGTCGGTTACCCGGTTGGTGCGTGGGTGAACTTCTGAAGGATTGTCCGATCGATGCGGGAACAATCTGGACCACTCTCGTTTCAAATTCATCATTGAATGTATCCTATTTTTGGAATTCTTCCACTTTAGCGATTTATAGAAATACGGCCTTTCCATTCAGGATGATTCGTTTAAAATGATATTACTTTTGTAAAGAATTATAATATAATAGAATAATAACGATAATAGTAGATACAGTAATAATAGAGAATAATAATAGAATAATAAATAGATACTATTTTTATTGTTGAGTAAAGGAAGGAATTTGTAAGAAGTGAAATATTTAATTATTTTATAATCAGATCGAGTTCTATTCATATTGCTTTGTATCAACATTCCTGCGTTGAGGATAAACAATTTGTAGAGCAGTTAATTTTGTAACCACCTATGTGATACAATATTTGTTAGATACTAATTTAAATAATGTGTAAAATGTAATCTATGGAAAGCGAAATGTTAACTTAATTTGTAAGTAACATGGGCAGTATTCGTATTGTTTTGTATACTTGAAAAAGATTTATAAGAATATGTCATCTATGCGCATTATTGTCATGGCCATTTATCGCTAGCGGACGAAATTGTCATTTAATCGTTGAGAAATTAAAGCATAGTGACCTTAGAATTTATTACATTATTGTAAAACAGAATGTAATGTATAGAACATGAGATTAAAAATTTTGTAAAATTATTAATATACCGTGTTAATTTCTTTTCCGATGTCATTAATAAACTTGCAAGTAATATGTCAGAGGGATACAAATTTGGTAACGTCAGATTTATTATTGACTGTATGCAGAATTTGAAAAAATTCAGATACGATCAGATAGTACGAGTCAATAATATGTCAGACAATTAAAAGTCTTTCTACTCCTCACTTTTGTCTGACTTTACTACTTGCAAAACGTGAAACAATTTCAGGAATAAATTCTAACTAAGTACCAATGTACGGTATCACCTTGAATTTATAAGACATGAAATATTTTATAAGCATAATTTATGTAATTTTACGATTCTGGTTATTTGATTCCGAATTTTAAAAAAAGTAAAAATTATGGTTATGTTGTGAGGGTTTCATCATCTTTCCAACTTCCGAGACAAACTACTACACTCTGTAAGCACAGAAATTTGCAAGGCGCATTGCGTGGTTATCGGTAATTAGATCAAATAGTACATAATTTGTGGTTTTTCATGTGCATGTCTTCCTCTAATGCTCACAATGTGCAAGACAAGGAGCAACTGATTGTGCGACGAGGATAGAAACAGAGAGCGGTGGCGCCATCTACGGTGGTGGGTTCGTGAACTAACTTTCCCTATCTCTACCATGTGTAAGACAAGGACAGAGATAGTGTGCGACAAGGAGAATAGATGCGCCGCTCGTGCCACCAACTTTTTCGACGGACTTCGAATTCCCTGGTAAGTGGTAGGAACACATGATATAGATGGAGGTATCCGACAAGGACAAACTTATGCGTTTTACGGAGCGAGAAGAGGACAGACAGTGAGAGTCTCTCTCGACGTATCGATTCGAGGGAAAATTCGTTAATAACTCAATTACCAGGAATAATTTATAAACATTTGCGATTGAAGCATATAGAATGGACCTTCAGCTACTTTCACATATAGTTTTTGATCAGATTTTATATGTTATTAGAGAGTTATTAATTAATTTTGACAAGCAGTAACCCCGCGTAACCTCAAAAAATTAAACATCGTTCTACAAATAATTAATTTCCTGACATTGCAGACATCATTTGTGATTATTTATAATCAAAGAATGTAGAATGGACTTCTAGCAACACACCGATAACAAATTTAATCACATTTGGTTCGTAGTTAATAGGTTATTAACAATTTTTGCGCGGGAGTATTCTTCTATCCTATTGCCGTAACGGTTCAGACAAGGACAGGTAGATGACGCAACAAGGATGG